TTATAATAGTCTCTAATGATCCTTTGTATTTCTGTGGTATCGGTTGTAATGTCTCTGTTTTCATTTCTGATTTTTGTTATTTGGGTCTTCTCTCTTCTTTCTTTTTGTTAACCTAGCTAATGGTTTGTCTATTTATCTTCTCAAAAAACCAACTTTTTGTTTTGTTGATCTTTTCTACCATTTTTTGGGTCTCTATTTCCTTTAGTTCTGCTCTAATCTTAATTATTTCTTGCTATCTACTACCTTTAGGTTTGGATTGCTTTGAGTTTTCAAGTTCTTTGAGGCGAAGTTTTAGGTCATTTATTTGAAGTCTTTCCATTCTTTTGATACAAGCATTTATTGCAATAAATTTACCTCTTAGTACTATTTTTGCAGTATCCCACAGGTTTTGGTATGATATGTCTTTATTTTCATTAGTTCCTAGTAATTTTTTGATTTCCTGTTTAATTTCTTCTTGGACCCATAGGTCATTCAGGAGCCTATCATTTAGTTTCCATGTATTTGTATAGCTTCCAGAATTTTGCTTATTGTTTACTTCCAATTTTAGTCCACTGTGGTCTGAAAAGATAGTTGGAATCATTTCAATTTTTTTAGGTTTGCTGAGACTAGATTTGTGACCTAATAAGTGGTCTGTCCTGGAGAATATACCATGCGCTGATGAGAAGAAAGTGTATTCTTTAGTTGTTGGGTAAAATGTCCTGTATATATCTGCCAAGTCCAGTTGGTCTAGGGTGTAGATTAAATCCTGTGTCTCTTTGTTGACTTGTTGCCTGGAAGATCTGTCCCATACTGAGAAATGGGTGTTCAGATCACCCACTATTAATGTATTAGGTCCTATTTCTTTCTTTAGGTCTAAGACTGTTTTCTGTACATATCCACGTACTCCAATATTGGGTGCATACATGTTTGATTGTTATGTCTTCTAACTGTATAGATCCCTTTATCATTATATAGTGGCCTTCTCTGTCGTTTTTTATGTTTTTGGTTTAAAGTCTATTTTGTCTGATATAAGAATAGCTACTTCTGCTCGTTTTTAGTTTCCATTTGCATGGTATATCTTTTCCATCCCTTCACTTTTAGCCTATGTGTGTCTCTACTGGTGAGGTGAGTCTCTTGGAGACAGCACATACTTGGGTCTAGCTTTTTAATCCTATCAGTCTGTGTCTTTTGAATGGGGAATTTAGTCCATTGACATTCAGGGTAGTTATTGACAGGTGTTGCTTACTCCATCATTTAATTGTTTGTTGTTTAGCTGGTTTAAATATCTTTTGATCATTATTTCCTCTTTTATTTCTCTTTGATGTTAGTTGCGAATTTAAGGTGGGATGATTTAGCTTCTTTCTCTTTCTTGCTGGCACTTTTGTTTTAACAATGGGATTTGCTCTTTCTTGTGTATTTGTGATAGTGGTCACCATTATTCAGATTCCAGATGAATGACTCCCTTGAGAATTTCTTGCAGGGCTGGTCGTGTGGTGGTGAACTCCCACAAATTTGTTTGTCTAGGAAATACACTATTTCTCCCTCATTTCTGATGGAGAGCCTTGCTGGGTAAAGAAATCTTGGCTGGCAATTTTTTTCTTTTAGTATTTTGAATATGTCATTCCACTTTCTTCTGGCCTGTAGAGTTTCAGCTGAGAAATCTGCTGTTAGTTTGATGGGGGTTCCCCTATGTGAGACCTGATGCTTTTCTCTTGCTGCTTGTAGAATTCTCTTTTTGTCTTTGAGCTTTGCAAATTTAACCGTAATGTGTCTTGGGGAGGATCTTTTTGGATTGAATCTGTTTGGGGACCTTTGAGCTTCCTGGATCTGAAGGTCTGTATCTTGCCCTACACCCGGCAAGTTTTCTGCTATTTTTCCTTAAGTAGGTTTTCAATACCTTTTCCTTTCTCCTCCCCTTCAGGAATACTCACGATTAGGATTTTAGAGCACTTGAGGTCTGCTCTCTCTCTTAGATTTTCCTCATTATTTTTAATTCTTTTTTCCTTTTTTTGTCTGCCTAGGTTATTTCAAAAAGACCATCTTCAAGCTCTGAAATTCTTTCTTCTGCTTGATCTACCTTGCTGCTCAAGCTCTCAGTTGTGTCTTTTATTTCATTGAGTGAATCTTTCATTTCTAGAAGTTCTGCTACACTCTTTTTTAAGGTATTAATCTCTTTGTAGACTTCCTCCTTCATATTTTGGATATTTTTTCTTATTTCATTGTGTTCTCTAATTGAGTCTTCCTTTATTTCTTCAAATTTTCTTAAGATCATTGCTCAGAATTCTTTTTCAGACATTGCAAGGATTCCCTGTTCCATTGAGTTTGACTTTGGAGCATTACTGTATTCTTTTGGTGGTGTCATTTCTTCTTGTTTGTTTGTACTTCTAGTATTTTTTCGTTGACATTTGGTCATTTGGTAGAGGATCTGCTTCTTCTATTACACTGAGGTTAGCTGTGGAGTGACCCTGGCTGCTACTGTGGTGGTGAATTGTCTTTGCTTGATAGTAAGTGTGGTGGTGGTTATATTAAACCACCTTGGGTCCTGTTTCAGAATCTGTGGTCACAGAATGAGCCCCCAGTGCCACACAGTTCTACTGGGCACACCTGAGCAGGTCAGATCCCGCAGGCTGGCGCTCCCTTCTGTGTTCAAGGAGGGGACAGGGCTAGCCACACAGTTCTGTTGCTGCTGGGCTCACCTTAGCACAGGTCGGGGATCAGGCGGGCTGGTGCTCTCCTCCAGGTCCCAAGGAGGGGGGAGGGGCCACCTCTAGCCATGCAGTTCTGCCACTGCCACTGCTGGACTCTCCATGAACTTTTTGAAGTACCCTCATATGTGTGAGGTGAGTCTCTTGGAGACAGCACATACTTGAAGAATTTTCCAAAAATTAAAGATATCACTCCTCAATTTGAAGAACTACACATTTACAATGGAAAACTAAAAGTAAATTCACATTTAAGCATTTAGTATTTTTTTTTTCCTTTTTGTCTTTTTTCGTGACAGGCAACGGATCGCAACCCTCAGTGTCGCGCCCGGACCGGACCAGGACCGCCCGGACCGGACCGGGACCGGCAACGGGATCGCAACCCACGGTGTTGCTCCCACACCTCGCTCAGCCAGTGAGCGGCCGGTCTGTATATGGGATCCGAACCCTCGGCGGGAGCGCCGCCGCGCTTCCCAAGTGGCACACTGTAGCAGTGCGCCACCGGGCCGGCCCGGCATTTAGTATTTAAACTGCATAACTGTAGAGAAGAAAAAGGAAGAAATTCCAAAATGAGTTATATGAAGTTATGGAGTCTGAACTGAAATCCAGGTCTTCTGACCCATGTTCAGCACCCTTTATAAAATACCAGTCACTCTCTGCAAAGTGGGAACCCATTCTAAGAGAACTACCCAATAGGCTGAGATCAAACATTTATTAAGTATCTATAACATGCCCATTACTACAGTGGGACAGATATCCAACTATTATTCCTTTTGTAATTTCCAAATAGCAGATGCTACTTCCAAAGCATGGTCTGGACAAAAGGAAATATGTGATCTCTGCCATGGCACAACACATTCCTGGTTTTCCTCCTAACTCTCACACAGTTCCTTTCCTAATTCCTTTGCAGGATCCTTCCCTTCTATTCAGCTAGTACATTTAGAATTCCTCAAGGCTCAACTCTAGGCCCTCTCCTACTTTCACTCTATATTCTTTCCATAGGCAATCTGATTCCTGCTCGAGGCTTTAACTTCTACCCATTGGCAGATAATTCCAGTGCTCTATCTCCTACCCACACCTCATCTGAGCTGCCTATGTCCTATTTTTATTTCAGTGTTTCACAAGCACTCAAGTCCAATATGTCAAAAATAAAGTCATGATCTCACTTAACATGGCCTCTTCCAACTTCTCAGCAAACAAGATCATCATCAAGGAGTTATCCCCTGTCAATGACGCTTGACCCCCACTTATTCAACCAACCCCATATCCACTCAATGTTGCTTCCTAAATATCCCCCAAATCAATCCACCTCTCTATCTCAACTATCATCATTTTAGTCCAAACTACATACTTCTCTTGCATGAATTGTTTTAATAGGCCCATTGACCCACCTGTATCCACTATTGTACTCCTTCAATCCAATCTCCCTGCAGTATACAGAACAATTCTTTCTAGGATATCATACTTCTGCATTACTCAGGCCCTGCTCAAAACCATTCAATAGTGTCACTTTGGTCTTAGGACTATAATCAAACTTTTTATACCAAACTCCATAGTGTGGATCTTACATGCTTTCTAGCCTCATCTTATACCATACCCGCTGGCTACTGCCCCCTCCCATCACTCTGGGCTTCAGATGCCATGCTCCCTCTAAGCACAGTGCCCAGGCAAAGCTATTTCCTCTGTCTCGGACCTCTTTGTTAGTTCATGACTGCTCATTCTTTAGATCTCAGCTCAAGTTTCAGGAAATCATTCCATGTTTTCCCTAACAGTCAAATTCTTGATATATGCTTCAAAAGCATATGTAACTGTCATTTGTAGCATTTAACATAGCCACAATTTAAAATTTATTCTGTAATTATTTGATTAATATCTAACTTCTTCACTAGGCTCTGAATTCCATGAAGATCAAGGATTACATCTGCTTGTGTTCACATTTTAACTTTAATTCCCAGCATATCGCATGCAATAAATATGCCCTGAATAAAAGAATGATAGATTAAGAGAACACAGGCTTAAATATAAGCCATAATAATGGTGTTACGCTGTCAGAGAAGACATACTTACCAAGAAAAAGAAAAAGTAAACTTAAAACTTTACAGTAACAATAGTCCCTTAAAATACAAATTTGTAGGGCCGGCCTGTGGCTCACTCGGGAGAATGCGGTGCTGATAGCATCAGGGCCACGGGTTCAGATCCCATATAGGGATGGCTGGTTAGCTCACTGGGTGAGCGTGGTGCTGACAACACCAAGTCAAGGGTTAAGATCCCCTTACTAGTCAACTTTAAAAAAAAAAAAATACAAATTTGTAAAATAGCTTACCTTGACACAAATTCACTTAATTCTGAATATTCTGTAGGTTCCATTACTATGTTGAGGTCAGTAATAACAGAAGATAAACTCTCCTTATTCTAAAATAAAGATAAAAAATTTACGTATCAGAGCACAGTAAACCTTAAAATAAAAAGACAAAAATACTTTTAAAATATGCTAAATGAAATGCCACGAAAAAATGAGAAAGGGTAATCAAGAAATAATACTGAAAATATTGGTTGTTAAGAGAATGAAATCAGATCCTTACTCCATACCAAAAACAAAAATGAACTCCAAATGAATAACTTAAACACTGAAACCAAAACCAAAAAACACTAGGAGGAAATATAAACATCTAACTGATTAATGAGAAAAAACTTTCTAAGCAAACAATATGAAAAAAATTGGCAAATATTATATTAAAAACTCAAAATACCTAAGTAAAAAATGCCTCTTATAATAAAAGAGAAGCAATAAACTGAGAAAAATATTTACCACAAACAGACAGAGGCAATGAAAACTAAAAAGAAAAAGACAAAGGACGTGAACTAAAACTTCAGAGGTGAAAAACAGTTTACAAGTAAAGAATGTTCAATCCCACTAGTAATGAAATAAATGTAAAAGAGATGACATTTTTACTTATTAAATGAGCAAAGATTTTAAAATGTTAATGCTGGTAAATACGTTCGAACATGGTAGGGGGAGTATAAATTGGTATAAACCTTTTGGAAATCATTTTGACAGTGCATAAATAAAAATACTCATATTCTCTATCCCAGCAATTTGACTTCTAAGAACCTATCCTAAAGTAATATATGAAGAAAAAGATTTATGAATAAAGACATTCATAACACTGCTACTTATCACAAAAAAACAGAAACAACTCTACAGTCAATAATGGGGATTGTTAAATAATCTGCTGTTTTGATTTGCAAATTCAGGTTTTCCCTTTTACTCTAGTAAAATTTCTTCATATTTGCTATCTGACTTGTTTTCTCTTATCCTGAGCTGCTGGTGAAATAGCTATTGATGTTTTATAATCTTTGTTTAGTTTTTCTTCTGCTTGAGGGTACAGTAGAAATTGTTAGGAGCAGATGCAGTTTAACTAGGCTGTCTGTGGGCATTTACCACCATATCTAATCAAAACATAAATTCCAGAGTCACTCTTAAAACCCAATAAAAAAAGCAGACAACCTAATTAAAAACTGGGCAAAGGACCCAGAGAATAGACATTTCACCAAAGATGATATACAAAAGGCCAGTAAGCACATAAAATGAAACTCAACATCATTAGTTATCATCTAGTAGTTTCATTTGACCCAGTAATTACACTCCTAGTTATATACCCAAGAAAAATGAAAACATATGTCCACTTAAAAACTTGTTCATAAATTCTATAGCAGCATTAGTCATAATAGCCAAAATGTAAAAATAACCACTTCCATCAACTGATGGAATGGATAAATAAATGTGGTATACCCACATAAGGGAATATTATTCAGCCAAAAAAATTAAGTACTGATACATGCTACAACATGGATGAACTTTGAAACAAGCCAGATATAAAAGGCCACATGTTATATCATTTCATTTACATGAAATGTCCAAAATACAGAAATCCATAAAAAGAAAACAGATCAGTGGTTGTTTAGGACTGAGCAAAAGGAGGGGGAATTGAAGGGTGATAGTTAAAGAATATGGGGTTTCTTTTAGAGGTGATTAAAACGTCCTAAAATTGATTGTGGTGATGGTTGCACAACTCTGTGAATATATTAAAAACTACCAAACTGTACACTTTAAAAGGATGAAGTATATGGTATGTGAAGCATGTCTCAGAGCTATTACCAAAAAAAGAGTGGGAAGAAAGAAAAAGGAAAACAAAAATCTCAGAAGCACATCTTATCTCTTGTTCTAGTACATGTGGATATGTTAGATTTTGGCCTTTCATCCATTAGGATAAGTAGGTCACTCTGTAAACACAAAGTCCTCTCTCTTTTTTTTTTCCCGGTGGGTTGTGGGTTCTGTTCAGCCACTGGAAAGCTAACTTCAAGAAACTGTTTTCCTATCTATCTCCTGCTTGTGGTACTGCTAACCAGGTCAATCTCCCTAGTTGGTAAACAAGGGAAGAGACCTTTTAAACAACCTGACCTCAAAGCAATCTCAGCAGCACATTCCTTTGTACCATGGTTCTTTTTTCTTTTTTTTTTTTCCTTTTTTTGTCTTTTTTTTCGTGACTGGTAACGGGATCGCAACCCTTGGTGTCGCGCCCATACTGCGACCAGCAACGGGATCGCAACCCACGGTGTTGCGCCCGCACCACGCTCAACCAGTGAGCGGACCGGTCTCTATATGGGATCCGAACTTCCTTTTTTTGTCTTTTTTTTCGTGACTGGTAACGGGATCGCAACCCTCGGTGTCGCGCCCATACTGCGACCAGCAACGGGATCGCAACCCACGGTGTCGCGCCCGCACCACGCTCAACCAGTGAGCGGACCGGTCTCTATATGGGATCCGAACCCTCGGTGGGAGCGCCGCACTCTACCGAGTGCGCCACCGGGCAAGCCCTGTACCATGGTTCTTTTAATTTAAGCCCACAGTTCTCATTTTCCTCTACAATTTAAGGATTGTGGGTAGAGATCTTTAGGAATAAGGCCCCATTAACTCTGCAAAATTTATATACCTCTCATGAAGCACCATATCAGATTTCAGTGTTTTGGTTCAAATGTCATAATATCAGGGAGATTTTCTTTGGAGTCTGTGATAAGGGGACTGCATTTTCTTTCATTAAAAAATGTCCCTAGGGCCGGCCCGGTGGCGCACTGCTATAGTGCGCCGCTTGGGAAGNAAAAAAAAAAAAAATGTCCCTATTTTGGAATCATTTTGTAAATTTCAATGGGTTACAGGACAGAAGTTATGCAAACATACTTATCTGCCACTTTCCCCACAAACTTCTACAAACATGATCTTTTTTATGCTGCATGGACTAAGAGGCTGATACATGCTAACTGTGATGTTTTTGCAACTCCTCACAAATAGCATTTACAAACCAGACTGTAAATCTGGGGAACAGAATTCTATGTTCCAAACACCTTTGACAACATCTGTGGCAACATGGGTAATCATTCAAACTCCCTAGGTAGATTTCTCTTTAAATAAAACGGTTGACCTAGATAACCTATAAAGTCACTTTTAGTTCTAAGATTCTATTAATATGATTTTAGGTCACTTTTGCCTTAAACATTATATTAACATTATTTTATTACAATATTCAGTAAAATGAGTTTTATTTAGATTCCTTTTAAATTTTTTAGTAGATAACATCTTTCTAGTGAAAACTTTGTTTTCTAAAAATGTTTTAGAACATAGAAGACTGATATGTCATCACCTTTGTTTTTGTTCTATCAGTCTCAAAAGTAAAAATGTGCTCAATATGTAAAATGGTAAATGTTTTAGAAGGCAATTTGGCACTATCAACTAGAATTTATACGTACATTTCCTTGGACCTAGCAATTCTATTAGAGATATGCAAGTATTTCTAAAAGTATACTTACACAAGTAGGCCCAGAATATGCTGGAATTTACCATTAAATAATAAAAATTTACAACTTTTTTTTTAGGGGGTTGCTAGCTGGTTCAGTGACCCAAACCCTTGACCATTACATCACAATTCTAAGCAACATAATAATATAGTCCTTTGTTCCTTTCCTGTTAGGAAGAAACTCTTGGCACCTCCCACACAACTGATTCCTAAAACCCTGCTGATCCCAGAGTTTTCTGATTACTTCCAATATCTTGCTTACTACTCTGGTCTTCAAGAAGAATCATAAAATCAAAAAGGCTCTGGGCCGGCCCGGTGGCGCACTGGATAAGTGTGCCGCTTGGGAAGCGCTGCGGCGCTCCCGCCCGAGGGTTCGGATCCCACATACAGACCAGTTCCCGCTCACTGGCTGAGCGAGGCACGGGGGCAACACCAAGGGTTGCAATCCCGTTGCTGGTCCCCGGTCTGGTACGGGGGCAACACTGAGGGTTGCGATCCGTTGCCGGACACGGAAAAAGACAAAAGACAAAAAAAAAAAAAAAAGGCTCAGAGAGGGCCGAGCCCGTGGCGCACTCGGGAGAGTGCGGGGCTGGGAGCACAGCAGCGCTCACGCCGTGGGTTCGGATCCTATATAGGGATGACCGGTGCACTCACAGTGCTCACAGCACTCACTGGCTGAGCGCCGTGTGGCCGGTCTCAAAAAGGACCAGAAAAAAAAAAAGGCTCAGAGAGAAAGTTGAGTGTTCTTAACACAGCAAGAGAGAGCACGCTCTTTCTGCAGCTTGTTAGTAAAACCAAGCAGTCCCAAACTACCTACATACTATTAACTGTGAATGATGACAATTCATGTCTCTTTAGAGATTCAGCAATTACTATGTTTTGTCTTTCAAAGAATATCAACAGTTCCTCTCAGGTTTTTTTCCTGCATCCCCTAAAGCATTTACAGAAACTGCAAATAGTCTCTCAATATTTATATTTCTTTCTTGCCATAGTTTTTCACTGGCCACAAGGCCATGCATAATGAAGACTAAATTTCCAGCATCCCTTGCACTAATTTATTGGCCAACAGAATGTAAGTGAAAATGATGGGTACACAACTTACAGAAAGTGTCCTTCAAAAGAAAAGGTGAGCCTTTGTTTGCCCATCCCACTTCCTGATGCCTGAAATGCTAATGTGATAATTGCACCATGATTTGGAAGCCATTTGGAGCTAATAGTATAACTTCCCAAATAGTCATAAAATTTTCAGTCATGTTTTGATGGTATGGAGACCAAAGTATTAGCTTAAAATACTGTTGAGGTCTGGGTCAGTTCTGCCACTGCCTGATAGAAAGCACTGCAGCAGGGGTGGCAGGACCCAAGTGGCAGAGCAGTTACAGCTTCGTATTACTGGCTTCAGTCCTGTCTGTGCTGCCTTGGGGTGACCACCCAGGCCCAGCACACCAAACCAATGCAGGAAATGGGGGCCCAGTGAGAACTCATACTGGGAACACCCTGGTAAGGTAGCAGCCATTCTTCAACTTATCAAAAATGTCTGTGATCTCATCCTTGATCTGACTCAGGACAGCATCAAACTACTCTGATGATTTCCATCAGAGTCTTAAGGTGGGCAAAGTACATAACTTAAAGTGATTTTAAAATATTGCATTGTGTGATCTCTCAGGCCACAGCTCCACTAATGAGCATACCAACTAACTTTTGGGCACGACCCACCCTGGAAAGTACAACTCCACTAAGCAACTCATTCACCTCAACTTCAGAGGACAGTCTTGCTCTTTTCACTTGTATTTGTGAACAAGCCTCCCTAGCACAAGACTAATTTTGCCCACAGCCTAGCTTCTCATCAGATAACCCATGAAGCCACTATGAGAGTGATAAACACCTATAGCAGAAAAAGCCTGTAAGACTCAAGGCTACTGGATGCCCTGGAGTGGTTTTCTGAACAATGTATATACTGGAAGGCAGGTGTTCTCAGAGACAGACTGGACATCAGGCTTATGACTCCATCAATCTGCCATGGGTTGCAGGCCTGCCCCATTGGTGTATACCAGCATGCAGGAAAACATTCAGTGTGTCACCACTCCGAGGTCAAGATCACATCAGCGACAAAGAAAGAAAATGCAGCTGGTCAGACTATGCAACCTTCTACAATGGGACAAAATCCAGGAATTCCTGGGCTACCCAAAGGAAATACCTGGGGTCCTGGCACAGCTGTCCAGCCCAAATGACAGCAATCCATTTGGGTCCACGCTACATTTTGTGGTCTTTAGCAGATGATCTTTGTAGTCATGCAGAATATCACCTTGGTAACCCTGTGTGGCCCCAAAACCTGGTGCCCACCTGGGAACAGTGTAACACCCCTAGGGCCACTCACCACCCATACCCCTGACACATGAAAATGCTATGTGTTTTATCCTGTTCAACAGGCCTTGGCAATGCCACATTGTGCATTTTCTTGGTCCCTTTGGCAGTGCTGAAGGGTGACACTCTGAGGTGACTGCAAGCTTGGAGCTCAATCATTGGATGAGGGTCTTAGACATTCCCCAGCCCATCCTTAGCCTGCCAGGGCCAGTGGTGGCAACTGGGGACTTGGACTGCAAAGAGAAGCAAATCCTCCAAGCCCAGATACCTGGATCCAGTCCTTGGGACTAATTAGGGGGTGGCCGTCTGACACTTAAGGAGGCAGGGTATGGGATCCCTGACTGACTCCTGTCTCATACAAAATGGGACAACTTGGGGCTGTTTTTGTGTCTGACAACATTGATGACAAGAACAAGAATGAGAAATCCTGGCACATGACCCTGAATGCAAGTAGGCAGCTTGCCCACAGGACTTGGTTGTGGTAACTGCTCTACACCTACTTTAGTTATCTGATGAGCTAAGGCCAAGACACCCTGCTTGTCCTTCCCTGTTCCATTCCCCTTCTTTGCACACATTCCCTATAACCGCAGCTGGCAAAACCCACTGGTTGAAACTTTCCTGCCATCAAAGTATGAGCCCAGCCTCAGTACTCAAAATCAGGCCTGGATCCCATTCTTCTCAGAGGCAGACTTTGAAAGTGTTTGCCCTGTTCTGTCCCAATCTGGCTGATGTACCTGCCTGTTACCATTCTGTCTGCTTCATTTCTTCTGCTTCCTGATTTTATGTGAAAGTCTTAGCCAAAAATACCTTCCTTCCCTGTGTTGTGTCTCAAGAATCCAGTATAACTTGCAGGAACATCCGGCCCCAAGCTGCCTTCAGATGACCACAACCACATGAGGCCCTGAGCAAGGATATCCAAATGACTACTCCCAAATTCCTGACCCACAGAAAATGAGTGAGATAATAAAAATTTTTTGTTGCTTTAAGATGCTGAATGTTGGGGAAATTTGTTAAGCAGAAATAGATAACTAATTGATAACAGATGGCTAATATATCAGCTAAGCACTGATGGCATCTAGGACTGTTTTCACAACCGCAGTGGCTTGTACTGGGAGTAGCCCAGGAACATCTTTCAATCTGCCCTACAATAAAGCACCTAAGGGCTCAGCAAAAACCCTACCATATGCAGTTGATGGGGTATTTATACTTACAATTTTTTAAATGTTGCCATTTTGCACATATGTCTACAAGGAGGCCCTAGTTTATGAACTCCTCATCTTGGCCACTGCTGGAGGCTGGGGTTTGGGAATTGTTTATCTTATAGCAGAAGTATCCCTGTTATCATAACATTTTCCTTAAGATACCTGAATTTCCAGAATCTGAAATTCAAGTTGAAATGTAACCATGTGGCAATTTCCTGATAATCTGTGTCTCTGTAGAACTTTCTTTATACCTGTAAATCAAAAAAACCAAATATGTTGTTTGTAAATAACAATTTTTTTCCAATACCTATTATTTAATTTTGTATGAGTATACCACATATACATGTGGGTACACGTGTAAAAGTATACGTTAGTAATTGCACTGAAAAAATCTGGAAGAATTTGTACCAAATTGATTATCATTGCAAAATAGGGTTAATGACAATTTGTACTTTGTAGTTAGCAATTACACCAAAGGTTAAGGTAAAAAAATAGAAATTTACTAGTACAACCCTAGACAAGTTTGAATCACGTTAGCTGCTAGATGTTTTTCATTTTTTCAACATTATCTAATTCTCGTTAAAGACAGTAAATTGAATCCACGTGTTTACCTCTGCTATCTCTCAAAAATTCCCCAAAATGATAGTGATAAATGGTATTTTTCAAACTGTAACATACATACATTTAAACGCATAAAATGCCCTATTCTTAAGTATATAGCTCAATTTTTTTTTTTTTTTTTTTGACCAATAAGGGGATTGCAACCCTCAGCATGGTGTGGTCTGCACCACACTCAGCCAGTGAGCACACCGGCCATCCCTATATAGGATCTGAACTCGCAGCCTCGGCGCTTCCAGCACCACACTCTCCCGAGTGAGCCACGGGGCCGGCCCTCAATATTTTTTTTTACATGTGTTTACCCATGTAACCACCACCCAGATTAAGATATAGAAATTTAATAGCACACACTACATAAGGGTCCCTCATATCCTTTCCCAGGGTGTACCCTACCACCAAGAGGTAAACAGTATTCTGAATTTTACAGTACCCCATAAGTTTCCCTCATGCCCTTTCCCAGGCTGTACCCTATACCTAAGAGATAATCACTATTCTGACTTTATGTAGTCATCTAGTTTTGCTAATGAAGTTGTTTTTAGAAGGACACAATTCTACAAGGATAAGGAGAACAGGAAAGATAAGAGAAACCAAATTTTGGAATCTGGAAACCAGATGGATAAACTAGGATAGCACATGGACAGGTGGAACTGACCTGGCAGACTCAGGAAAACTGAAACCTAAGCCAGTAATGGGGAAAGCCCATAAGCAAGCCCACTTACAAAGCAGAATACCAAAAAGGCACTCTGAATAAGAAGCACCAAGTACCTCTACAGATGGGTGTGAACTTGGGGCTCAAAATAGGAAAACTGGTTAAAGATCTGTTAAGTAAGTAGTTAGGAAAAAAAGACAGAATAGCACATAGTGACATCATTTGCCTCCTGAGAGATGTACTGGTAAAAACAAAACATTACTTCATAGTTTTTCTGCAAAAATTGCATAGGTTGAATCTCATTAAGAGGAAACTATCAGAAAAAAACAGATTGAAGGACAATCTATAATACAAGTGGCCTTCAAATATGTCAATGTCATAAAAAACAAAGAAAGGTTGACTATATTAAAGAAAACTAAAGAGACATGACAGCTAAATGCAATGCCTGATCACAGACTGGATATGGGATTCAAAAAATAAACTGCTAAGGAAGTTTCAATATCATTAAGAGGTCAGTTCTTCCCACTTTGATCAATAAATTCAACACAATCCAATCAAAATCCCAGCAAGTTACTTTGTGGACACTGACAAACTGACGTTGGCTGCACAGTATTAAAGAAAAACAAAGAGAATTTACACTACACTATTTCAAGACTTACTATAAAGCTACAGTAATCGAGAGTGTGGCATCAGTGAAATAGTAGACACATAGATCAATTGAACAGAACTGAGAGCGCAGAAATAGACTCACAAATATAATCGACCAATCATTGACAAAGGAGCAAAGGCAATTCAGTGGAGAAAGGACAGTCTTTTCAACAAAAGGTGCTGGAACAACTGAACATCCACATGCAACAACAAAAACAACCCACCATGAATCTAGATACCGACTTTACACCTTTCACAAAAATTAACTCAAAATAGATCACAGACCTAAATGTAAAAATACAAAACTATAAAACTCCTAAGATATAACATAGGAGAAAATCTAGGCAACTGTGGGCTTTGTCCATAAAAATAAACGTGCCACAAATGTGATAAAAAATAGATGGAATATTGGAAATAACCTAGTTCAACAACTTTATTTTGCAGACATGAAACTCTGGCTGTGAGAGATGTTCTGATGTGTCTGAGGTCCAGGCTTTCTCTTTTTTCCTTATAGAAGTATACTATGCATATATAAATTGCATATAAATACATACAGCATGATAAATTTTCAGTTCAGTACTTTTTAACTTGAATACTCTAATTTTTTTTTTTAAATAAAGAGCAAGAGTATATTCTTAACATATACCAGAAGAGGATTAATTAACAGAATACAAAGTTCACATATACCAGAAGAGGATTAGTCCTTCAAAACAATCAATTATCGGGCCGGCCGGTGGCGCACTGCTACAGTGCACCGCTTGGGAGCGGCGCCGCCGAGGGTTCGGATCCCACATACAGACCGGTTCCCGCTCACTGGCTGAGCGAGGTGCGGGCGCAACACTGAGGGTTGCGGTCCCGTTGCCGGTCCCGGTCCGGTACGGGCGCAACACTGAGGGTTGCGATCCGTTGCCAGACACGAAAAAAGACAAAAAGAAAAAAAAAAAAAAAAAGCAATCAATTATCAAACCCATCCATTTATTTTTAACTACATGTATTCAGAGCTGGTCAAAAGACTAAAGGAAACTTAAAAATTGAAAAACTACCCTTATTATTTTGCAGTTATACTTAATTCTGGACTCCAAACTCAATTATTTATTTTGAAAACCCATTCTTAAGGAATCGAAATTGAGACTATTTAAAAGAATCATCATAGGCCCTAAGGGAAATTCCAACAGAAGAGTTCTAAAAACGTTTGGAGCAATAAAGGCATAACTGAAAGACTAAAGGAAACTTAAAAATTGAAAAACTACCCTTATTATTTTGCAGTTATACTTAATTCTGGACTCCAAACTCAATTATTTATTTTGAAAACCCATTCTTAAGGAATCGAAATTGAGACTATTTAAAAGAATCATCATAGGCCCTAAGGGAAATTCCAACAGAAGAGTTCTAAAAACGTTTGGAGCAATAAAAGCATAACTGCAGGGGCCAGCCCGGTGGCGCACTGCTACAGTGCGCCGCTTGGGAGCACGGCGGCGCTCCCGCCGAGGGTTCGGATCCCACATACAGACCGGTTCCCGCTCCCTGGCTGAGCGAGGGGCGGGCGCAGCACCGAGGGTTGCGATCCCGTTTCCGGTCCTGGTCCGGTACGGGCGCGACACTGAGGGTTGCGGTCCGTTGCTGGACACGAAAAAAGAGACAAAAAGGGAAAAAAAAAAAGCATAACTGCAATAAAGTATACATTCTTCAAACATGACTATTATGAAGACAGCAAAGATCATTTCATTAGCTAGCTTCTGATATATGCATTAACACACCATAGGAACAGTATCTGCATAATTAATGTTTATTGAATGAAATAATTACTTCAAATAGTTCTTTGTGCTTCCAAAAGCACCTGGCCAAGTGACTCGGTCACACACAGTAAACATTTGTTAATTAACTAAAGATCTGATCGCATCATTAGGTCAGCAAGCACACTCACTGAGTCAAATTGTTTTGCTCTCGGTTTGCTCAATAGATTAAAAAGCTGTTAAAATAAAGCATTATTACTACTGCAAATACCATTTTGAACAATGTTGTATTACTTAGCTCTGTTAGGAACAATGATTTATTTTTACTACAAAATCTTTTTTCTGTGTTAGAACAAACAAAATGAGACTTATGAAACTATAATCTTCAACGACAAGGCTGAAGCATTTTTAAGCTGTGAAGCCTATCAGCTATCTCACCTCTTCATGATATTATCCATTCTACACTCATGTAGAGTTTCTTTCTTGTGAAAAAGAGAAAAATAAATATCTGAAAACCAGTGACACAAGGAACAAGTGTCATATGGCTTCTTCTAATTGGAACATTTCATATTTAGATTCCATTTGCCTGCTGGCGTCAATCTTCTTTCTTTTCCTGTTTAAAATATTTCTCTTCTAGCACCATTAATCTTGTGATACTGCTTCACAATTCACTTCAAGAAATTCCCACAACTACTTAGATTTCTGACTTTAAAACAATATTTCTTCTTTATAATTTTTATATTTTTCCAAGTTTTCTAAAATGAGCACATACCTGTATTAGACATAGATAGAAAAAAAGTATTTCACTGTGATAACCCTGTCTGAAATCTCCCATTCTGGCCACAGTAGCTTTCTTACGACCCTATGCCTAATCTTTAAGTTGAGACTTTTATGCTAGTAAAACTCTTACACCTGGCCTATCCTCTCTCTGGACTATGTATTCCATCTCTTCCTTTCAAGTAATTTTAGTTTCCTACATTCTCTCTCTCCATTTTTATCTGTAATTCTAAATCCCCCAGCAGTGAGCTGCCCAAGATCCTCTGAGATCCTTCTCTCTCTCTGCTGTTATGAGGGTTATTTCAGAAGAAAAGTCAGGAAGCACTTCCAAAATTGATTTCTGCTTTAAGGAATACTATTCTTGTCCAACCGAAGTTTATGACATCCAGTCAAACAGCTTAATTAGCTTCCCCTTACCTGTTAAAGCATCACAGACTTTTGGCAATAAAACTTAAGTCACTGGAACCAGAAACCTTCCTTCTGGGAAAAAGTCTGGCTGCTGAAACTTTTCTGTTGGCCACAGGCCATGATAGGAGTAGAGCACTGTGAATGAGGCAGCTTTCACGTCAATGATAACTCCTCAGATTTATAAATTAATGGTACTGTTGTTCTTAAAATCACTAATTGTTTATCACTACTACTTGACGATTAAGGTACTTAATGACAGAGACTGTATCTGTTCTTTAATATTTACCTCAGGCAGCTTTTAAGAGTATTATTCACACTGTGATATTCAAAAAACACCTGATTAAATAGGTTACCCCAACCACACTTTCAAATAGTTCCCTTGCAGAATTTTAATTCACCATTATGATAACCAATTTCCTATGCATAAGCTTTAACACCACTCCTCGATTTATTTTTATTTATTTATTTATTTATTTTTTGTCTTTTTTCTGACCGGTGAGGGGATCGCAACCCTTGGCTTGGTGTCGCCCGCACCGCGCTCAACCAGTGAGTGCACCGGCCATCCCTATATAGGATCCAAACCCGCGGCGGAATGCCGCTGTGCTCCAGCGTCGCACTCTCCCGAATGCTCCACAGGGCCAGCCCACCACTCCTCGATTTAAAATAATTCTTACTTTTTTCTGTCATCTCAGTGATGGTTAGGTTCTCTGTCTTCTTGGAGTAATTTCTTATAGTGATGCCAGTGAGCATACTTAGAAATGAAAGTTCTGATTCTAAATGTCCAAGCTGACTTCTTGGATCTTTTGAAGATTCCCATCCTTCAGAATCTGATTGGTGTATTTCTTGAAATGATTTTCTACAAAGCAAATATCAGAAATAATTATTCCAATTACTAACAAGCGTTTCACCTAATAACCCAGTTTTCCCCAAACCATTCCTCTTCTGTCCTCCTTACTCTCTTCCCATTGAAACAACATAAGAATTTTCTCAAAACCATCGTGGCTACTAATATAGAAATCTTTTTATTTTTTTGCAATCTCTAATTTCAACAAAAAGCAAATGTAATAAATTACACTACCATTTTTTTACATATTAGAAACACTTTAAAATAAATTTCAGGGCCGGTCCGGTGGCGCGCTGGAGAGTGTGCCGCTTGGGAGTGCGGCGGCGCTCCCGCCGAGGGTTCGGATCCCATGTGGAGACCGGTTCCCGCTGACTGGCTGAGCGCGGTGCGGGCGCAACACCGAGGGGTGCAATCCCGTTACAGGTCAGTAAAAAAAAAAAAAAGAAAACTGGGCTGGCCCGGTGGCACAATGGAGAGTGCGCCGCTTGGGCGCGCGGCGGCGCTCCCACCGAGGGTTCGGATCCCATGTGGAGACCGGTTCCCGCTGACTGGCTGAGCGCGGTGCGGGCGCAACACCGAGGGGTGCAATCCCGTTACAGGTCAGTAAAAAAAAAAAAAAGAAAACTGGGCTGGCCCGGTGGCACAATGGAGAGTGCGCCGCTTGGGCGCGCGGCGGCGCTCCCACCGAGGGTTCGGATCCCATGTGGAGACCGGTTCCCGCTGACTGGCTGAGCGCGGTGCGGGCGCAACACCGAGGGGTGCAATCCCGTTACAGGTCAGTAAAAAAAAAAAAAAGACAAAAAGGAAAATAAATAAATAAATAAATAAATTTCAATAGTATTACTTTGCAAAATTAAAATGTCATTTCTAACCCAGGAATTTCCAACCTAAATGTCTGATATCACAGAACACCTCAAATTAATTTGAAAGACGTCTCAAAATTAAAAAACAAAAGTTAACTAACTTTAATTTCTAAACCAACTAAATATCACATTTTATACTAAGAAAAAGATTTCTCAGGAAATCTAAGAATACAAGGGGTATAAATTCCAAAAGAATAAGAAATAGCATAATCTATTTAAGCACCACTATAACCAGACATTTTTCATTGAGAACATACAACTCTATTTTCCTTGAAAAAAGAATTAAATTTTAAATTAAATTAAATTAATTTTTAAATTAAATTAAAAAGAATTAAATTGCATTGGATGATGGTATTTTACTTTTTGTCATTATTTCCCTTCAACTATCTGCTACATTCTATACTGCTGACTTCTGCAATCTTATAACATTCCTTCCTTGAGCTCTGGGGCATGATTATCCTAATTCTCATTTTATATCTCAGGTACTCCACTGTCTCCGTTTCTCATCTCCAACTTTAGTGAAAAACCCTAACACTCTTGCCTCTGCTGTCCTAAATATGTATTATTTCATTCCAGAGGAATACTCAAAGATTAACCTCAGCTTTTCTATGCCAATAACTTCTAATCATATATCATATATCTAATCATTTCTCTTCTTCCTGCAAGATAGATCTAGCTTGATATCTCAGTAAATGTTTTTTCCTCGAATCAGCTTTTCCTCCAAACTTCCCTACTTTTGTTAATGATAAAAATCTCCCCTTGATAGTTCAGGCTCCCTATCTTGGAAATTATCCTTGGCTCTTTCACTCACCTCACATCTGGACCTACCAACATCCTTTCTGTTCCCTCACATACTTATTCTTTCTTTTCTATTTCTAATTCCACTACATTAGCCAACACCCCTATGACCTTATATACATCTATAGGTAATAATCTAAGTCCATACTATTCACACCAGGGATCCAAGATGTATAAAGTCTGTAAAAAAAATTATTTAAATTTTATTTTAATGCTAATTTAAAATATTAATATAACTGTGCTCTATATCATCTGAGAAACTGCTACACCTTCTTTTGCATTTGCCATCAGGGATTGATGCCAAAAAAATTACTTTAAATATAAACAGCCAATGAAAAAAGAACAGAGGCAATCTTCTTACATGAATTTCTGCCAAGTGAACACCAAATAAGGACACAGCAAGATATGAATAAAGATTTCAAGGTATTTCCAATAGAGCAAAGTGGTAAGAGAACCAAGTCAATATACTAAAGGACAGATATGCAGAGCTCAGAAAAGATCCTACAGTTGGCAGAAGGGAAAATGGGGAGTTATTGTTTAATGCATACAAAGTTTCAGTCTGGGGTGGTAAAAAAGTTTTAGAGATGAATTGTAGTGACGATTGCACAACAATGTGAATGTGTTTAATGCCTCTGGACTATACACTTAAAAATGGTTAAAAGAGAAGGACCAGCCCGTGGCTCACTTGGGAGAGTGTGGTGCTGACAACACCAAGTCAAGGGTTAAGATCCCCTTACCGGTCATCTTTAAAAAAAAAAAAAAAAGTATAAAAGAGTAAATTTTATGTTATGTATATTTTACCATAAAAAAAGAGAACCTGCATATTCAATGAGAATAGCAGCTATCTACTTGGAGCAAAATATCGTTGGTCTCAAAAAGTAAGAAAAACAAAACAAAGAAGAAAAAAAAAACAAAGAAAAAATATCATTGGTCTGTTTCAACTAATAACGTTAGCTTGAATTATTGTGGGTTACTTTGAATTTTTGGTTTTGTAGTTTTATTATCTGTAAATCTGTGTTAGTAGCATAAAAATTTTGTCAAAATTAGACGTTCACAAAAAAACTTTTTCCTTTAAAATGAATCTACACCAAGGTCCAGGGTTCAATCCCTGTACCAGCCAGCCACAAAAAAAAAAAAACGAATCTACACATGATCAGAATAAAAGTCAATGATCTATTAATTAGTATTAGTTGTTATTATGAAATAAGCACTGTTCTAAATGAGTTATATACGATGGATCTTCAAAAAGTTTATGAAAAATTCATATTATCATTTTGGTTTTGGTCTTGGTTTTTCAGTGGCTGGCCAGTAAGCAGATCTGAATCCTTGACCTTGGTGTTCTCCTTGGTATTGTCTTTTTTTTCTTTTTTTTTTCTCTTTTTTGCAGCTGGCCATTTATTATCTTTTAATTCTGTTTTCCCACAGACTTTTTGAAGTACACTCGTTTATTAACTCAATTAGTCCTCACAACAACCCAAAAACTTGAGTACAATCTTACCAAGGAAACTGCAGCACAGATAAGGGAGATCATGTAACCAAAAATCACTCAGTCAATAACAGAGCCAGGATTTGAAGGCAGGCAATTCGGCTCAAGTGTGGACACATGGATATATGTAGCAGAATAATTTAGCTCCAATTTTCCTTCCTCCAATCCACCTATCCATTTAAAATTATGTAAAAAATAGCTTAGTACACAGATCCCAATCTTCCTCCTCCACCACAGTGAAACTTCAAATTAAATCCAACCACCTTGGACTGACATTTATGTCTCCCACAATCTAGACTCTTCTGACTTTCCCAGCTCCATAACTGCGAAGTCCAAGATTACGTGAATAATCTACTATACTATCCTGGGCTAATAATGACATCTTGTGGCCAATAAAGAAACCATTTCTCTCCATAGCAATAGAGCACAGAAATCTGGGAGTAGGGGTCTTCTTAAAATGCAGATTCTGAATGGTTACCAGAAGCTGGGAGGGGGATGGGAGAAGTGATGGGTTAACAGGTACAAAGTTACAGGCAGATAGGAAGAAATCCTGGTATTCTAGCTTGACTATAGCTAGTAATATTATATTTCTAAATAGCTGGAAAAGAGGATCTTGAACATAATCACCACAAAGAAAAGATAAATGTTTAGGTGATGGATATGCTATCTACTCTAAGTGAATCATTGTACAATAGATGCATGTATTGAAACACAATGTACCCCACAGATATATACAATTAAAAAATTTAAAAAAATTTTAAAAAGGAAAAAACCCGCAGATTTTGATTCAGTAGGTCCCAGTAAGGCCGAAGTCTCACAGATGATGCTACTACTCCTAATCAGTGGAGCACACCTGGAGTAGAAAGGGTCTTTAATACATTTCCTGTCACTTATGGAGGAGCACATATGCGCCCTGTGCATCTGATTCCCTCTCCGTTTTACCAGTTTCCTCTACTTTCATGACCACAGAGAACATAACTATAAACATTTTCTTTAGACCTAATCTTCTTTCCCATTTTCTTGTCCAGTAAGCTCAGGAAAAATCTCATTCTCTCTGCACCTACAACAAATTAGTCAACTAAAAAAAAAAAAAAATGAAGGTAGTACGCTTTCAAGTAGCTTGCACATTTGAGATGACACATACACAATTAACATTAGAGAACTTTTCTCTCCCTCTCTGTCAAGAAATGAAAGTGCCCGGACTTTGGAGTTGAATTTTTAGGTTCCAATCCAGCTTTGCCACTTCCTTTCTCTGGGACCTTGGGCAAGATACTTCTCTGAGCCTCATTTTCCTTAACTTTAAAACGGGATTAACAATAGTACGTACCTCAGAGGATTGTCAAACTCTCCTACAAGCCATATTAATTATTTTTCTTCACATCAACTTTTTTTTACCTATTATTTTTCAAAGAAAATTTTATGTCATTATCATGAGAAATCACTATCCCTTGCCATGTGACCCATAAAAACAGATGTCATGAAACCAAACAGTTATTAAATCCCAACCGAGAAAATTTTATGTCATTATCATGAGAAATCACTATCCCTTGCCATGTGACCCATAAAAACAAATGTCATGAAACCAAAGTTATTAAATCCCAACCCCATATGAGGGTAGTTCAAAAAGTTCGTGGAAAAATAGAATTGAAAGGTAACACGAACCTTTACACAGGCTTTTTGAAGCCCGTATGAAGGGCCAGCCAATTAGCTCAGTTGGGTAGAGCGCAGCCTTCCAGTGCCAAGGTCAGGGGTTCGGATCCCCTGTACCTACCAACTGCCAAAAGGCAAAACAAAGGAATTTGTCTGAAGCCCGTATGTACTGCTACCTACCCACCGCAAGATTATCTAGTTAGGAAGATAAGACTTTCTCCTTGGTAGCCACCAACACGGACGACAAGCTTACTACAGGGCCCATGCGCGGTGCTCACACTCTGGGCCACCATCAGCACAGAATCGGTATGTGCTCAGCCCACATCATAAGGCGTCCCACGCTGTAATTTTCAGCAAAGGACTGGCTAGGCATAGCAACCCAGACTATCTGTGGAGATTCGCCCTCCTCGCCCGGGAACGCCGAACGGAGGGAGAGGACAGGGGCCACATATCAAAGAAACGAAACGCCTTTTTGTGGGTGGCCTTAGTCAGGCCATTTGTGAGACAGACCTTCAAAATCAGTTCAGCAGATTTGGAGACGTTTCTGATGTGGAGATCATCACCCGGAATGATGACCAAGGTAAATGTATAGTCCTTCACTGGATAGTTAAAGGCAGTCATAACTCAGGTGAGCATCAAAGAAACGAAACGCCTTTTTGTGGGTGGCCTTAGTCAGGCCATTTGTGAGACAGACCTGCAAAATCAGTTCAGCAGATTTGGAGACGTTTCTGATGTGGAGATCATCACACGGAATGATGACCAAGGTAAATGTATAGTCCTTCACTGGATAGTTAAAGGCAGTCATAACTCAGGTGAGGTATTTCAAAGTAAAGCAACTCCAGAAATGATTGTTAGCTCTGAACACTGAAAGTAGTATATGAAGCCCTGGAGGTTTTATGTAAAATGTGGAACTTGACCAGAATTACTTTCTGAATTCCAAATTCTAAAACATCTGATTTCAGAAACATGTAACTTTCAATTTTCACAGCCAACATTCTAACATTAACTAGTCCTGTTAAGTAGAATATCACTAACATACAACATAAGTGACCACTTGACATTTTTTTCTTATTCCTTTTCTTTTCAAATATTTTGATAATTATGCTTAGAAAAATGCAATCTTTGTACCCAGTGAAAAATAAACACGATTTTTCTTTGAAAGAGTAAGTTTTCAAGAATTCATTTTTTAAATTTAGAAACTTATTTTTACATTGTTTTCTGGATAAGAGTTTAAATAAATTTATTTTTCTTTTCTTAGGAAACCCACAGAAAGTCTTTGCATATATCAACATCAGAGTAGCAGAAGAAGACCTGAAAAAATGTAAGATCTTCTTATATTTTTTGTACTTTTTGCCAGTTGGTGTCACTGTGTAACTTGGAATAACTTTGGTTCTAAATGTGAACAGCCACTTTTAAGTCATCCAGAGGGACAACCGTGGTCAAGTGAATGCCAGTATCCTGCAACTCAGCAGGTTTAGGTTCATCCCATTTGGCATCAGCAGGTTTAGAATACTACTTTATAAAACCATATTCTTTAAATTGTAAAATCTCTTGTTGATAAATTTAGTAAAGGCCCAAAAGGCAAAAAACATTGAAAAGTAAGTAAGGGAACATGCGAATAGAGGAAGAGGGGCATAAGTCTTTTATAATTTCATTTGCGAAAAGATTGCTTTCTTCTGTTATTTAGTGAGGAAGTACATGTGACAGATATGAAGTTGTGGTTAAGAATACATCAGCTTGGCTGTGTGACCTGTGGCAAGTTATTTAAACTTGTAAGCTCTCAAGGCTGGCATGTTAGCTCAGTTGGTTAGAGTGCAGCCTTATAACACCTATGTCATGGGTTCAGATCCCTGTACTGGCCAGCTACCAAAAATAAAATGAACTTCCAGGCTCCAGTTTGCTTATCTAATGAATATTACTGTGAAGATTTGATTAAATAATATACTTGTACTTGGTGTAGTACCTACCACATAGAGAATTCTATTTGTTAGTGCTTATTGTTAAGGAATCTGACAGCAGATATTCAGAAAAATCAATTGCTAGGACGTAGCAATTCAAACACAGCTGAATCACTTTCAGTTAATTCATTTGCAAGTTATACAATGATAATTAGTGTGAAGTAATAAATAAAAGTAAGATGTTACAGGATTCCAAAGTGTCCTCTGATTCATGCTGAAAATATCACATTAATGTTTCATAGTTATGGGAAATAACAATGAAATACTAAATAAATCTCAGTTATTACCCAGAGGTTCCTGACATTAGTTTATAAACAAATTACAAATAACTTTTACTTTACAGTTTATACATTTTGCCTCATTCCAGTCTTCTAGTAACACTGAAATGGAGAGTGTAAGGACCCTTCTGATAAGTGGTCAAGATGAGACGCCTCTCCAGGTCTCATTTTCTTTCTTCTCCTTTTCTCTGTCTTTTTGTGATAAACAAGTCCACTTTTCTGGACACTAAATAATTATAAAAAGTACATATTGAAATATATTTTGCATTGCCAGGTACCTGGGTAATAATTCTTTACTTTGTAGGTATGTCTGTGTTAAATAAAACAAAATGGAAAGGTGGAACACTGCAAATTCAGCTAGCAAAAGAAAGCTTTTTGCACAGGTAAGATTTGCTCCACATAGATTTAAACCCTGATCTTTATATTGTAAATGGTTTTATATATTCACTTAATTTATTTGAAATTATCAGGTAATATTTCATTCTTAGCAAATTCAAACATTAGAAGTAGAGCTGAAATCCCTGTCAACTCTGACTCACTTTCACCCCAGACCCCTCTGAAAAAGATAATTCAGAGCATTACATAAGTATATATTAAGCTATAGAAGTATGAATATGTACTTATTTTCTCTTATTTTACACAACCTTTTGTGATGCTGAAACATTAGAAGTAGAGCTGAAATCCCTGTCAACTCTGACTCACTTTCACCCCAGACCCCTCCGAAAAAGATAATTCAGAGCATTACATAAGTATATATTAAGCTATAGAAGTATGAATATGTACTTATTTTCTCTTTTTTTACACAACCTTTTGTGATGCTATGGATCATCCCTGTTCTTTGTAATGACTATTCGTATTGTTTCAGAAAATGGCTGTACCACAGTGTAGTTGGTCCCTCCCCAGTTATGGACATTTGGATTGCTTCCACTTATTCGTGATCATAGTGATCCTTGAGGATGTTTTCTGCATGTGTGCAAGTTTTTCTCCTGGGTTCATGTTAAAAAGTGGAGTTCCTGAATTGTAGGGTTATGTATGTTTACATTTAACTAGACATTATTAAATTGCTTATGTTGATTTTGACTATTAATTCTGGTGTGATGCAAAGATGTAATAGTAGACCCCTCTATGAGAGGCAGAAGAATAATTATGTAAGTGATTTAATAACAAGACAGTGTAATAACCATTAGAGCTTTTAAAATCCTAAAGGTGAGGCAAGAGAGCAATGCCCGGGGTCCTAGGCAGGAGCCAAGGGCAACTACCCCCTCTGCCTAGAAACAGGCAAGACAACGCCCAGGGTGTTGGCAGGAGCTGAGGGCAGACCCCTCTGCCTGGAAGCAGATAAGAGAGCATGCCAAAAACACCATTTTCATGCAGGTGGCTTACCACAGCCATGACTGCCGCAAAAATGGCTCAGTGCCGCAGCAGTAGCCACAGCCACCACGCAGGTAGTGCACTAGACTCTAGACTGCGTTGACACAAGGAAAGCCGTCAGCAGAGACTGGAAAAAGAAGAAGACGTCTCTCTCCTCAAAGCCCACCCCAGAGTGCTAGAAACGGCTGCACTACCAGATGACCAGACATCAACATAGAGATACTAGAAAATATGAAAACCTGAGAAAAAATGACACCACCAAAGGAATACAGTAATTCTCATATACCAGACCCTGTAGATCAGGAAACCCTTGAAATGACTGAAAAGGAATTCCGAGCACCAGTCTTAATGAAACTCACTTGGATATGAGAAGACTCAATTAGAGAACATAATGAAACAAAGAAAAAAAGTCCAGAATCTGAAGGAGGAAATTACCTAAAAAAACCGTGTACCAGAATTCATGGAACTGAAAAATGCACTCAATGAAATGAAAAACACTACTAATAGCTTAAACAGCAGGCTAGAACAAGCAGAAGAAAGAATTTCTGATCTTGAACGTAGTCTTTCCAAAATAACCCAGACAAAAAAATGGAAAAAAGAATTTTAAAGAGTGAAGAAAATCTAAGAGAGCTACCAGAATACCTGAAGCACAGAAACACTCAACATGTTCCATCCAGTCTGGATGTTCCAGAAGGGGAGGAGAAAGGAAAAGGCATGGAAAACCTATTCAATAAAATAATAACAAAACTTCCCAGGTATAGGGAAAGACACAGACCTTCAGATGCAGGAGGCTCGAAGATCCCCAAACAAATTCAAGCCAAAAAGGTCTTTCTCCAAGACAAATTATAGTCAAACTGACAGAGCTAAAAGACAAAGAGAATCTTAAGCAAGAGATAAGCATCAAGTCACCTATAAGGGAGTCCTTATCAGACTAACAGCAGACTTCTCAAGAGAAACTCTACGGAGCGGAAGAAAATGGGATAACATATTGAAGATACTAAAGGAAAAGAATCACCAGCCAAGAATACTATACCCAACAAGGCGATCCTTCAGAAATGAGGGGAAAATAGTGTATTTTCCAGGCAAATAAAAACTGCAGGAGTTTACTACCACGCGACCAGTGGATTTCCAAATGCAGAAATACTCAAGGGAGTCCTGCATCTGGAATCTGAAAAACAATAATCACTACCACCAATATGCAAGAAAGAACAAAACTCATTGGTAGAACAAAAATGCAAACAACCAAGAGAAAGAAACTAAATCTCACCACCACAATAATCCAGAATAACGTGATAATGCCCCTCCTTTATTTCCAATTTTGGCAGTTTTTATCTTCTCTCTTTTTTCTTGGTAATCTAGATAAAGGTTTGCAAATTTTGTTGATCTTAAGGAATCAACTTTTGTTTTTGTTGTTTTTCTCTACTGTTTTTTAATTCCTTATTCCATATATTTCTGTTGTAATCTTTGTTATTTCCTACTTATATTTGTGTAGTTTGCTCTTCTTTTTCTATTTTCTTAAGGTAGAAGTTCACATTACTGATTGGAGATTTTTCTTATTTCTAATATAGATGTTTATAAGTATAAATTTTCCTCTAAGCACTGCATGAGCCCTGCATCCTATAAATTTTGATATGTTGCACTTCGATTTTTATCTCAAAGTATTCTCTAATTTCCCTGTGATTTTTCTTTTTACTCATTGTTTGTTTAGGAGAGTGTTGTTTAAATTTCTACACATTTGTGAATTTTCTAAATTTCCTTCTGTTATTGTGGTCAGAGAACATATTTTCTCTGATTTTCTATGATCTTAGTCTTTTTAAATATATTGACTTATCAGCCAAAAATAAAATTTTTTAAAATATATAAAATGAAAAAATAAAATCCTAAAGGTATTTTTAGAGAGAAATAATTAGTTTGTGAACTTTGTTTTTTGTTGTTGTTGTTTGTTTGTTTGTTTTAAGATGAACGGTAAAGGGATCTCAACCCTTGGCTTGGTGTTGTCAGCACCACGCTCAGCCAGTGAGCTAACCAGCCATCCCTATATGGGATCCGAACCCGTGGCCTTGGTGTTATCAGCACTGCACTTTCCCGAGTGAGCCATGGGCCGGCCCTGGGAACTTTGAAAAGAGGAAACATTTTAAGAATATACAGATGGAGTAAACAGGAAAGTTGATAAGATTGTTCTCCACCAACAATAAGTCTCAAGGAAAAATATCATTTAAAACAAGTGGCATACTGCACTACTGGAGACATGTTTTGGGGGGACTGGTCTTGTGTGGGAGGTGAGAATTTGATTTTGTTCTTCAGCTTACGGCCTCTGACTGTGAACAGATTATTCCTGTACTTTTCACTGAGCAACACTTGAGTGCCTACTATGTGTAGGCTCTGGGCCCCATGATGAGCAGGGTGCGCACACTGCTGCTGTTTGGAGTATCTCTGGCTGTACCTGAGGACCAGGAATCTGACGGTCATTCTGGGAGGTGGAACATAAAGGACACAGACTAGAGGCAAAGAGGCCCATAAGTATTGGTCAGTGCAGTTGTCCAGACCTGAATAAAGTAGGGGTAATTTGAATTGGTAGATAGCATTCTCTTCATTAGGAGGATAGAAATAATCAAGATTTAACAAATAGGGCTCTGAAAGATACCTCTTCCTCATGAGGGAGACTGAAGGGAGAGGAGATGCATAAGTTCAAAGGGGAAAATTGAGAGAGCTTGTGATCTGTGGTCTTGGTCTTCCGTGAAGTGGACCTGGGACATCAGCTAGAGCAGAGCACAGGTGTAGGAGTTGACATTAGGAGTTGGGGAGACTGAGCGGAGTGGGTGGGTCAGGAGAAGAGAAACCTGCGTGCTCTTGTATAACAGCCCTGTGCTGCTCAGGTGCATGCAGTAGGGGACTGGTAAATAAATTATGGCAGATTTATGTAATGGCATATTATACAAGAATTACAGTGATGTTTTCAAGGAATGTGTAATGATAAGTTGAAAAAAGAAGGGAACCCAACTGTTCTTACAGTATTGTCCGGATTACGTTTTGAGATGTACATATTTACATACAGAATTAAGCTGAGGTAAGTAGACAAAATGTTAACCACAGATTGTGGGATAAGGAATATGTTTTATTTTCTTCATGTGTATGTGTTGTTCAATTATTCTACAATGAAAATGTATCACTGGTATGCTCAGAAAACAATATAAGCTACTATGCTATTAACAAAGTTTCATTTTTGGTTTTAATACAAGAAAGTTGTTTATAGCGCTCAATTAGAGTCATCTGAAAGGAAATAACCATTTTACATGGTTGATTATTTTAACTCTTTTATTTACGTTTCCTCTTTGATTCAGATTGGCCCAAGAGAGAGAAGAAGCAAAAGCAAAGAAAGAAAAATCAACAACAAGCAGCACCAACTTGTTAGAAAGGATGGGAGGCGTGGATTTCCATATGAAAGCTGTGCCAGGGACAGAAGTGCCTGGGCACAAGGTGAGTCTCCTTCGGGAGCCTGAGCCAGCCCAGGAGCTGACTCCTGAGACCATGTCATCAAGGGTGTCATGTCTAAAGCCAGTGACTTTTTTACCCTTGCTTTGAAGCAGTTAACATAGGTAGTGCTTAATGATTTTCAAGATACATTTACAACTCTTAGTTAAGTACACTTCTCCACCATTTTATAGAGAGAGAAGTCAAGACTAAGCAGAGGCAGTCTCCCAGGGGACTTAGGTAGTGAGGAGGACAGGCAGGTCGCAAGTTTGCTTTTTAATGGCTGGTGTTTGTTAATGTAGCATCCTACATAGTTCATGTGGAATTGATAACTGCTCCAAATTTCTTTTTTTTTCTTTCCTCTCACACTTTTTTCTTTGAGAACTCTTATTTTATTGTCAGAAAACTAAATCCAGCAGTAATCGTAGCCTACTGTGAGTTCAGTTTTTGAAGTTATATTTATGTAATGTTGTTATTATAATCTTTTCCATTTGTAACTTCTGTAATAAATAAATTCTTCTTTTTTTTTTTAGAATTGGGTTGTGAGTAAATTTGGAAGAGTCTTACCTGTTCTTCACCTTAAAAATCAACAGAAACGTAAAATATCCTTTGTGATTGACCTCTCATAGTAATTGTTATTTACCACAGTGATGGATACTTACAAAATACCTTTAGAATTTCACTGCCTCTGTCAGCAAATCTTTAGGTGTTTAACAGTTTGAATGTTACCAATTTCTAGGCAAAGTAAGTCCTATTTATCTACATGTATGAAACAATTACAGAATAGTGAAAGAATGTAATAAGGTTTTGTACCATTAACTAATATGAGTGATGAGTGACAAAGAAGCAGTTTTGTTTATTAATTTTTCCATCTTGTCGCACATGTAATCAAAGCCATTGCTCACGGAGAGGTGAGAGAACAGGAGCCATCATTAAAGAACGCTTTATAAGAATTGAGGTAGGTTTCATATTAACAGAAAAGTGATAGAAGTAGTCCTGGGAAGAGGAAAGTAGTAGGTGAAAATATGTAGACAGGAGAATGGTGGGTGGAAAGACAGTAAGGAACCCAGGAAGAGCAAATTCTGATGCCTTTTTGATGAGCTCAGATTATCTAAGACCTTGAGGACCTGGTACCATGGGTTTCTGAGGAGATGGCACGTCTTGGTATATTCATTAGCTCTTACCCCTGTGTATCAGTCAGTCAGGGAACCAAAACAGTTCAGGTATTTTAAACAAGGAATGTAATATGTGCAGTTGGTAAAAAAGTGCTGGAGGAGCTAAAAACTGATGTTCATGTTGCTCGATGGTTAACAACTGCAGCAAACTGCTACAGCCCCCAGGGCTAGAGAAATAAAAAGGTGTGACCTCAGAGATCACAGCTGCTGTGCCACCAAGGACACTATGTGAATCGAGGCTCCGGTAGCAATGGCCATACCTACCACTTCTGCCCTCCCTGCCAGTGGCACTAAAGTCAGGGAAGTGCTGCTTATGTGAATCGAGGCTCCGGTAGCAATGGCCATACCTACCACTTCTGCCCTCCCTGCCAGTGGGACTAAAGTCAGGGAAGTGCTGCTTTCTTCCTCTCCACCTTCTGGCCTCACACCAGTAGCAGCCACTGACAGCAAAGAGAAAGATTGAAGGACAGTGGAGCCAAAAGACAGCAGGCACTGTGTGGCACACCTCACCTATAATTGCCATGTATTAATTAAGTTACCAGATGAACAAAGAGACTTTTCAAGAGTGATAACTTAAAGCAATTTTGAGTCCAGGTGAAGTGGATGTTGTTGAACTGGGAGGATCAAGGTTGGGATGAGTCTGTATTGAGAAGACAGAGATGGCCAGGAGAACTTGAGAATGAAAGACACGACATGTCTAGCCGTGCCCTTTTAGGTTCCCTCTGTACTCCTTTATAGTGTCAGGCCACTGGACGGATCTCTGCGAGGTACAGCAAACAGCCCTGGAGTCTGTGTAATATAATCTGTGAATGTCATCTGAATAGGTTTGCTGCAAAGTCTACGTACAGTCTAAGTAATTTCTGCCAACTAATAGTGGTTGTGCTTGGTTTTAACTCCTGAAATGTCTCGGAAAACTTGGTTCTGTAGACCCTGGAAAGTCACCTAGTGAAGTTCTCATTTTGTTTGGTAGGAAACAGGGAAGCAGAAGTAAATGACTTGCTGGAAATTAAACAGTATTCTTTTTGTTTCACAGATTGATAAGGTTTACTAAAACTTAGTGCTTTTGTTTTGTTCCTTGACTTTGTGTAACATATTAAAATATGATCCATCAAAATACTGCCATAACATAAAGAAGATAGGGGAGGATTTCACAAATGTTATTCCTATATCCAGCCTCACTTGGGAATTAGAAGAAGGGAATGGCCCTATGAGTAAGAAACGGCGAGGAGACTTCTCTGACTTCTACGGCCCTGCCAAGAAGAGGATGAGAGTGCGGAAGGGTGAGGGTTCTTCTGGGTCTCTGGCCGTGAGTCCAAGGTCCAGTCAGGTAATGGAGAGTCCACACTTACCACAGCAACCAGCTGCAGAAAAAACACCTTGCAATTCCATTACAACTTCTAAGTCAGCCTCTGTACCTGGTTCTGATACTCAAAAACTTAAAAATGTACTTTTTCAGACTTCTGGCTTGGAAACTGCCAGGAAGAGAAATAGCATGTCTGATGATGATAGCGATTCAGAAGATGAGTTAAGAGTGTTGATTGCAAAAGAGGAGAACTTACAGAGGTCCTCAATAAATGAATCTGACAATGATCCCTTTGAAGTTGTAAGGGATGATTTCAAATCAGATGTTCACAAACTTTATTCTTTATCAGGTTTAGGTGTCAAAAATAATGTCTCTTGCCATGTTAGTGATGATGATATTACAGGAAACGATTGTGAATATGACTCAGGAGATACAGATGAAATCATTGCAATGAAAAAAAACAGTAAGGTCAAAAACAGTATGGAATTTTCACAAATGGGAAAATCTATACAGACAGAACTGTCTTTCCAAAATAGAGAAAACTGTGAGCTTTCTGATCATTGTATTAAAATACAAAGAAGGAAAAGAAATGTAGAGTCAGCCCTCAGTCATGGAGGGAAGTCTCTTAATTGTAAATCTCTGTGTGACTCCAGTAGCAGTAAAGATACAGATTCTGCATCAGAATTAGCAGAGTCTGAAGATGAGTATAATGCCATGATGAAAAACTGTGTCCATGTGAATCTCACGTTAGCTGATTTGGAACGCTTGGCTGGCAGTGACCTGGGGGTTCCAAAAGAAGGTGCTGAGAGTGGCAGCCCAGAAACCACCACCCGCTGCGGGTTTGACAGAGCCTCCAAAGGCCCACAGCCTCCTGGTGGCCTCCGCAGCTGCTGGCAGGGCATTTGTCCTGAGGAGATTGTGGCTTCCCTTTTAGAGGAAAAAGAAAACACCTGTGGTAAACAGAAGCAAAAGGAAAACAACATAAAGCCAAAATTCCAGGCTTTCAAGGGAGTAGGCTGTCTCTATGGAAAGGAATCTGTGAAAAAATCCTTGAAAAAGAGTGTTGCCTCTAACAATATTAATGGAAATCAGAATTCCTTGAAAAATGAGGATCCCAGTAGCATTTCCATAGAAGACAAGTCCGTGTGTGCTAAGGGCTCATCAAGTGAACTGACTCCATGCCAACGTGCAAGGAAGATGAACAGCCCAAACCACATTCAGGCTCTAAAAGGGCAATCCACTTTTGACAGCCAGGATTGTAAGGTGGTGTCCCCTAGCAGTTCAGAAAAGGGAAGAAGAAATCCTGTTTCTAGTCTGTTGCCATTAAAAGGTAAGAAATCCTTAAATCTTAGTACAAAGACTGACAAGATAGGCTTCGGCAAAGACCATTGCCATAGTACCACAAAGACAGAAGCAGCTTCAGAGGAGGAGAGATCTGATTCAAGCAACCTCATGTCTCTTGGGAAATCCCCAAAGGTCTCTTCCAGGAAGGACACCCAGGAAAGCAAAACCGATTTCTCACTTTCTGTTAGTAATTTGTCAGATGTGAATGCTAAGGACAAGCATGCCGAAGACAACCAAAAGCGCTTGGCAGCTTTGGAGGCCAGGCAGAAAGCAAAGGAAGTGCAGAAGAAGCTGGTACATAATGCTCTGGCAAATTTGGTGAGTATATTTTCAATCTATGGATTTAACAAAAACACTCAAAGTCCAACTCTTCCTTTCTGTGAAGCTAGGTGTGCCTCCTTAGAGCTGATTGTCTTCTTAGCTCTGAGAGTTAGAAGCTTTTCTCTTCATGAATACTTAGTATATCCCAAAGGAAGTCAGATTAAACTCTTTACTGGAAACATTTTTTAATCTAAATTTTTCTTTATTTCCTTTCGTTTAGATGCTGTAAGTAGGATAGTTAAGTGGTGTATACTAATGTATCTGAATTTACATATAAATCACTTGGCAAGTGATTTATATTTTGCCAAGTTTTGCCAAGATTTACTGTAATGAGCCTTTTTCGTACTTCCAACAATTGCTAAGTACGCCCTTACAGTAAATGCTACACTTACAGAATGAGAATGATGGTCCTCATGGGGTTATTGGCTCAGGGCATGGTGGGCGGATGGTCATACTTCAGTTCCACAAAGCCAAGAGGGGCGTGCCTGTGTGCCCTGACAGCACACAGGAGACACACCAAGCCAGTCGGGAGGCTTCCTTAACCACAGCTGAGTAGTGTGAAAGGATAAGTTGGAAGCTGATCAGGCAGAGGTGATAGGGTGGGATGGGAGAGGAAAAGTGTTCTAGGAAAAGGGAACAGTTTGTACAAAGGTGAATATTTTCAGTCAGTGTGATTAAAATTGATAGAGTAAGAGGTGGCAGGAAATGAAGCTAATGATAAGTAGGGGTGAATTGTGAAGATACTACGGAGGTTGGACTTTATTCTTAAGGCTGTGGAAAGAATGAAGAATTTTAATTAAGAGAATGAATATTATATATATTTTGGAACAGGAGTTGGCATACCACAGCTCACAGGCCACCCAGGCCATGGCCTTCAAGCTAACAGTGGTTTTTCATTACAAGACAGATCGCGTGTGGCCTACAAAGCTTAGATATTAATTCTCTGGCCCTTTACAGGGAAAGTTTGCCAATCTCTGTTTGGGAGAGAGCCTTTAGCCCATGATGAAAATAATTGAATAGATCAAATCTGGAACCAGGGAGAGCCTGTGGGAGGTTGAGAGTCCAAGCTAAGGCAGCAACAGTGGGAAGAGACTTAAAAGATTCCAGGAATGTCAAATGGATAGGGTTTGAAGACCAATGGATACGGAGAGAGAGGAGTCATGAGTTGCTGTCTTGGGCAAGTGAGGGGACGACAATGGCATTTACTAGATCCGGAAGAAGGAGGGAAGTAGACTGGGCAGGGGAAGGAGATGATGGGCTTGGACATTTTCATTGTGAGGTTGGGTTTTTGTCTTAAGAGATGATGCTTTTGATGGTCTCCCTAGGATGGTCGTACCGAGGACAAGCCAACACACATTGTCTTCAGTTCCGACAGTGAAAGTGAAGCAGAGGAGACATCCACTCAGGAGCAGAGCCATCCAGGAGAGGAACTGGGGAAAGTAAGGACATCCCTGTGGGCATCCGTTTACTTTTGCAGATCCATTTCTGTCTACTGTATACCAAGACCTCCACATACTGCCAGTCTCAACATAAAATCCTCCTGGGAGGGCTCCCAGGCCACCACACACGGAGACTACCGGGGTTGTTTTCTCCCACGTTAACCTACATTTTCTATCTCATCTCTGATGTGAAGTGACATCAGTATCAGTGAAACACTGCAGAAAGTGTTCTCACATGTAATAACTGCCCCCCCAAATCCAGACTGCCTTGGGGAGCCTCTGGATTAATGGCCTGAGAGGCTAGTTAGATATCACTGAGTCAGGAGTTTGCATCTGACTCATGCCTTGCACTCGTTCCTGGTAGATGCATCAGGGTGGTTGGTTTTTTAAATGTGAGGGAGAAGATTACATCATGAAGGAAATGCTGATTGCTTTGCTTATTAACAAACGGTTTTGTGTACTCTTCATCTCTGTAACAGGAATCCATGGGTAGAGCTTCTGGGAAGCTGTTTGACAGCAGTGATGATGAGGCATCTGATTCCGATGATGACAGTAGCAGGTTCAAAATTAAACCTCAGTTTGAGGGCAGAGCTGGACAGAAGGTTAGTGAAGACTGAAAATAATAAGACTTGCCACATCCCTATTTTTCGACATAGTCCTTAAATCCAGGTACATGCAGGCAGACCTTGACCCACATTCCGGCATTGGGTGTTTGGGGAGTGAATCCTTTGTGATCCTCTGATTGGTACATAGGTAGGTGAGGTTATGCAGGCATGTTAAATGTAGTGAATTTCAGGGTGTGGGGAGATGCACCTGGAGAGTCTTCTTTAGAATCAATTTCTTAGGAATGTGGCTATTAATTATGTGCATGTTTTGCTTGTGTAGCTCATGGATTTACAGTTGCACTTTGGCACTGATGACAGATTCCGCATGGACTCTCGATTTCTAGAAAGTGACAGCGAAGAAGAACAAGAAGGTAAATGCTTCACTGTCCAAACAATCCTGATGTCAGAGCCGGGGGACCCTGAGAAATTACCTAGTGCACCTCCTTTGTTTAATACATGAAGAAACACTGCACCCCAAGACATTGAATTGGATTTGTAATCAAATGTTTAGTTAACTTAGTATTTTTTAAGTTTTTTTTGTACATATTAATTTATTTAGAAAAATTTAATTACTTGAAGCTGTCAGAAAGGACAGGGATAGATAGTCCACCAAAGGTGTCATTTTCCTCCATCCCATCCAGGGCATGAGAAGACAACAAGGTCTGTCCTTACCTAGGAGACCGTTTGGGTAGATGGGCAGGTTCTGGTTGAGGCCACAAAGACAGTTAAATCGTGCTTGGCTCTCTAAAAGGAAGGGTGTTCACCTTCTTCAATGTGCATGCTGGGTGCAGATTTCTTTTAAAAGCTGTGTATCATTGAATCCCATTCTACTTGAATTCATCCTTATTGGATATATCTAAGACAATGATGTTATCAGAAGCATCCTAATTCTGCTCTTATCGTGTTCAAAAGACCTTGGCTCCTATGGGGCCACCTTGAATGTGCTCCCTGGATCCCTTTTTCAGTCTCAGGACTTCTCTGTCCTTTTGTTTTTCTCTCTTTCCCAGGTTAACTACCATCCTAACCCTCACCATTCATACTTAACTTCTACCCTCTTTCTCACTTGCATTTTCATCCTTCCCCTTTCTTCTAGCTTCTTCCTCTTTCTACAGACATAGGTCTCGGGGGTCCCAAAAAAGCCATTCCTCCAACCCTGCCAGTTTTCAACCTTTATCTCTCTTCCTGTTCTAAATATGAAATGATTTAGTAGTAGCTGACCTTTTTTTGACTACAGTCTCTGATTTGATCCCCTCATTTCTTTGAGGTGGTTATTGTCAGTATTGTACATTTCAGGAAACCAAAGTAAGTTCTCCAAGGTCCACACCAACTTATGTTTCAGAGCTGACACTTGACTTCATATCTTCTCGCTCAAAATTCCATGTTGAAAACACAGGAATGGACAGAACCTTGGGAATATCCTACATTCAGAAGCAACATGTAGAGGTTACTTCTTTCTGCCACTTTGTCTGTTTTCTTACAACTCATCGGGTATGTGTTCCCTCCAAGCTGTGAACTACTTGTTCTCCAACTGCAGTGGCATATTCTTGAGCAGTACCTCTTTAGCAGACCTATATTGGTTGTCGCTTTTGACCATCCCTTCTTGAAATGTTCTCTTCTCATTGTTTCCACTGCATCAAAACTTCCTTGTTTTCTTCCTTATTCCTAGTTCCTTTGCCTCCAAGTGTAGGCTCTTCCCAAGGTTCTCTAAGCCCCTGTGACTTTAGCCTTCACTGGTTCATGGGTACTTCCCATGTTTGCAGGATGTTTCCCACAGGCTTTCCTGCTGTGTTAAAACTCAGCAAGAGGGCCGGCCTGTGGCTCACTTGAGAGAGCATGGTGTTGATAACACCAAGTCAAGGGTTAAGATCCCCTTACCGGTCATCTTTTTAAAAACAAAAACAAAAACGCAGCAAGTCCAAAATTGAACTCTTTCTCTCTTTAAACCAGCTCCTCAGGACCCTTCTTTCTCTCTGTGTTGATGTCACTTGAATTCTTAGGGACGTCAGACATAGCACCTCTACCTTTTGTTTCTTTCCCAACTTTCAAGGCACAATTTTTGGTCTATCCTTCAGGTAAGCAGCACAGCCAGCCTCCATCACCTTGAGCTCTTTCCAGAGTTCCATTCTACTTTACTAATTGTTACTGTTAAGTTAAAATTAAAAATGCTGTTTTGGGAAGTCAGAAATTGTTGAATATTAGCCAGTTTCATATTTTTCAACCTAAGGCGATGTAAACTCTTCCTGCTTTCTTACTTTAATGTATGTGTTCATTTTGTTTCTGTGCCTAGCATGCTCTTTCCCCCTCGGAGGATCCACTTTGTCTTTCCTACCTCTACTCCATCTGGTTTATAAAGCATTTCTTGATCCACTTGAACACAATCTTGACTGGCTTTGAGCCCTTGTAAACTTTTGGTGCCTCTATAGAGAATTTAAATCAGCATTTTATTCTAGTTTCTTTAGTTGGTTGTTTAGAGCCTGCAGTAATTTGAAGCGGCCCTAAAGGCTTAGACTTCTTTTGTATTTCAGTAATCCAAGCTAGCTCTTTAACTTTATTCTCTGATATTTGTCTGTTTCTAGTAATTGAGGATAGCAGCTTATAAAGTTCCATGATGCCTTGTTTATCTAGGGCATATGGTTTTCTTCCTGCAGTACTTATTACTAAATCAAATACTTGTTACTGAATCAAAGCAGCTATTTAGTAATATTTCATATTAACAGTCAGTAAAATTGCCATCATTCACTGTCTTCATCATTTTTAGATTTACATGTAATTTAGGTTATATTTTTAGAATGTTAATAAATCGAAGTGTTTGTAATTGCTTTAATTTTATAATTAGATTTTTGGTGTATTACACTTGTCTATCTTTACCTTAAAAATTTGTTGATAAGAGATTTCTAAGTTTGCCGTGGCATGAAGGAAGTTAGTGAAATAAAGTTAAACTTTACTTCTTTCTATCTTGATGGGCTTTGCACATGTTTGGGTGTTTGGTAGATATTGGATGATGGAGATTTCTCAAGCTGTGTTTGCCAAGAGATTACTAATTATTCTTTTCCCTCAAAGAGGTAAATGAAGAGAAAACTGCTGAGGAAGAAGAGCTTGTTGCAGAAAAAAAGAAAGCCCTGAATGTTGTGCAAAGTGTTTTACACATCAGCTTAAGCAATTCTACAAGCAAAGCATCATTAGCTACTAAGAAATTTAAGTATGGTTTATGTTCCATCCCATTCTATTGTATTTTCCTTTGCCATAAATGCCTTTCTGAACTCAATTTAAAAGTAGGCCATTTTTAATATCCTGGGAGAGCAGTTGGCAATATATATCAGACCCATTTAAGTATGGTTTATGTTCCATCCCATTCTATTGTATTTTCCTTTGCCATAAATGCCTTTTTGAACTCAATTTAAAAGTAGGCCATTTTTAATATCCTGGGAGAGCAGTTGGCAATATATATCAGACCTTTAAAAATACACTTACTTTTGACCCAGTGATTCACTTCAAGAAACTAATCTTAAATTACTTCTGTATTTATATACATACATGTCATGACAGCATTGCTTCCATTAGGGCACAAGTAGAAAAGTGTAAATATTAATTGTAAACTATTAAGCTATATAAATATATAACTATTATGGAACAGTTCAAACATATATAATTTAGAAACATTAGTTTAATGAAGCTCCTGTATACCATCACCCGCTTCTACAGTCACCAACACATGACCAGATTTTTCTTCTCTACTTCTTATCTATTTTTTTTTGGGGGGGGGGTCAACTGGTTGGTATGGTCTCTTCTATACCTCTATCAAGCCCCTGCTTTACCCAATGAATTACTTTATGCGAATCCCAGGTAGTATGTCATTTTATCTGTACATATTTTATTATGTTTAGAAGTTAAGAGATCCAGAGAAACTCAAAAGTAGGTAGTTTATTATTTCTAAAAAGATTCTAATTCTCTTTGATATTATTTAGCATCATCTTGCCCCCAAATTAGAAGCTTCCTAGTGTTGAATTATAATTTGCTATTAATTTTTTGAATTAGTGTCCTGATTTCTCTTCCAATCCTTCTTTTTTTTTTTACAGAGACATCATACGTTATGACCCAACAAGGAATGACCATGCCACTTATGAAAGAAAAAAAGATGACAAGCCAAAAGAAAGGTATTCTTGAACTACTTCTTTTTGCAGTAGGATCATGTGAATTCATCTCATTTCCTGTGTTCCTAGGAACAAATCCATTTTATTGCCTTTCTCTTAGCTCTTGGTAACTGCTACCAGTTGGTGTTCCTTGGCTTGAAGCCACATCACCACATCTCTGCCTCTGTCTTCACATAGACTCCTGCTCTTTTCTGTATGGTCCCATTTTGTGTCTCTTATAAGGAAACTTATGATTATATTGTGGGTCCACTTGGTTAATCCTGGATGATCACTTCATCTCAGTATCCTTAATTACTTCATAAAACCCTTTATAGGACATGGAGATATCTTTTGGGGGAAACTATTCAACCATCTACACAACTTTAATATAGTAGGAGCATCCATTTCCTATAGATATGCGGTCAGTTTGACAAATATAGCAAATATATGGAACAACCAGTGACTACCTCGTTTAAACCTGTCATTTTCCTACTGTTAGAAGCACGTAAAATCACTGAAAGCATTGTGGTATCCTGAATTGGATCCTGAAACAAAAAACATATTCGTGGAGAAACTGGTGAAATCAGAGTAAAGTCTGAGTTTAGTTAATAGTAATGAACCAGTGTTAATCTTTTAGTTTTGACAGTTGTATCATAGTCACATAAAACACTTACATTAGGGAAAATTAGGTGAAGGTTATTTGGGAACTCTACTATCTTTGCAACTTCCTGTAAATCTAAAATTGTTCCAAAATTAAAGATTTCTTTTAGAAAGAATCACGTATGAGACCAAAGTAGAAGGAATATTAATATTCCATCCAATGTAGAATTTCTGTATGTTACTTCAGGTAATCCAAATTGAACACCCTAAGTGGGGGATATTTGTAAAATATATCAGGTTTGTAATTTGTTTTGGTTTTTGGCAGCTGGTAAGTACAAGAATTGATCCCTGGACCTTGGTGTTATTAGAACCATTCTCTAACCAACTGAGTTAACTAGCCAGTAGATTTGTTTTTATTTTATATAGGATGTATTAGTTACCTACTGCTGCATGAGAAATTACTCAAAACTTAGTATCTTAAAACCACAGACATTTACTATCTCAGAGTTTCTGTGGGTCAAGAATTTGGGAGGAGCTTCACTAGGTGGTGTCTTGTGAACTTGCAGTCAAAATGCTGCCTGGGATTTCAGTATCCAGAGGCCTAACTGGGCCTACATGATTTACTTCCAAGATGGCTCACTTACAAGGCTGTTAGCAGGAGGCCTCAGAGTGAACTTGCAGTCAAAATGCTGCCTGGGATTTCAGTATCCAGAGGCCTAACTGGGCCTACAGGATTTACTTCCAAGATGGCTCACTTACAAGGCTGTTAGCAGGAGGCCTCAGATTTTCACTTCCTTAGCTAGATCACCCAGTTAACTAGGCACATTTTCTATTTTTTACATTACTACAGGTGACAGTGTTGCTAAACTTTCTCCACCTCCTAGCAAGCTAAAAGATTAACATTGGTACCTTACTCTTAACTAAACTCAAACTTTATTCTGATTTCATCAGTTTCTCCACAAATGTCTTTCCTCAAGTTTCCAACAGCATTTATCTTTCTTATCTGCAAGCCTTTACCTGCAACCTCCTCAAAGACCATGTGGTTTCTAATAACAGTTTCATCAAGGGTCTTCAGACTTTTGCTATGACCCTTCTGAGAGAAGTCACATATCTCCACATCAGCCTTATTCTGTTCATTAAAAAAGGTCATTAAGGCCAGCCCACACTCGAGATGAGGGAATTAACTTCCACCTCTTGAAGAAAGAAGTATGAGAGAGTGTTTGGACCAGTAAAGCCACCACATCGTGGTTCAATGATAATCGCTTGGAACTGTCTATATGACACTAATTTTACAGAGCCTGATTTCATAGGAGGCATTTCTGTCTTGAAACCTAACCAGGTTTGTTTATGTAGTGAAGTATTAAAAAGGTCTTTCTCTGAGATGATCCCCAGCATGAAGATGGTTTTTAGCATATCCTGTTCACTTATTATTTTAGGTAATACATTAAGAACTTTGACTTGGTCCTACACATGTTAAATATGGAAGGAGGACTAATAAGAAAAAGGATTTTAATCTTTTATTAGCTAAAAACTCAATATTGGAAACTGCCATATAACTTTTTGACTAAGATCTATGAGAAAATCATATTCATTCCTAAATACAGTAACATAAAAATTTCATTCCAAAAGAGTCTAGACCTAGCGTATTTATAATCTCATTTCTAAAACTGAATTATAGTTAATTTCTTTTACATCAGTTTGGTAAAATTCACACAATTTTAGAAGTTAAAGTGATCTTGGAAGCCATCTGGTTTAATATGTTCACTTTGCAGATGAGGGAACTGAGGCCCAGTGAGGCTAAGTGACTTCCTTATCATAGCTTAATAGCTTAGGTGTAATTTCTGAAATGTAGTTCAGAACTCTTCCGTACTGTTGGTGGGACTGTAAATTAGTACAACCATTATAGAAAACAGTATGGAGGTTTCCTAAACAAGTACAGATAGAACTACTGTAAGATCCAGCAATCCCACTTCTGGGTATATACCCAAACGAATGGAAATCATCATGTTGAAGGGACACCTGCACTCCCATGTTCATTGCAGCTCTATTTACAATAGCCAAGACATGGAACCAACCTAAATGTCCATCATCGGAGGACTGGATAAGGAAAATTTGGTATATCTACACAATTGAATACTATTCAGCCAAAAAAAGAATGAAATTCTGCCATCCACAGCAACATGGTTGAGCTTGGAGAAAATTATGTTAAGTGAAATAAGCCAAGCACGGAAAGAGAAATACCACATGTTCTCACTCATAAGTGGGAGCTTAGAAGCTAAGAAAGAAAGACCTTAAAACAAAAAAAGAAAAATAATTGGGTAAAGGACACAAAAAGTAATTATGATTTGTAGTGATGAGCATACTAATAATATTGATTTGATCATCACATACTGTACATAAATACTGATAGTCAACTCTACCGCATAAGTATGTATAAATAAAATAGTTCAGAACATAAGACATAGGAGAATATGATTAATCTTTAATAATTGCAGCTATTTGAGAAAGTTTTATATAAAAAAAAAAATCTTGGGGCTGGCCCGGTGGCGCACTGTGCTAGTGCGCCGCTTGGGAAGCACGGCGGCGCTCCCGCCAAGGGTTCGGATCCCACATACAGACCGGTTCCCGCTCACTGGCTGAGCGAGGCACGGGGGCAACACCGAGGGTTGCGATCCCGTTGCCGGTCCTGGTCCGGTACGGGGGCGACACTGAGGGTTGCGATCCATTGCCGGACACGGAAAAAGACAAAAAAATAAATAAATAAAATAAAATAAAAATAAAAAAAAAATAAAATAAAAATCTTATTAGTCAAGATTCCTATTTTATTAGAGTTTTATATGTGGATCTTCTTGTTTGTTGAAAGGACGGAATTAAAATTAACGAAGGTATTTTCCTGGTTTCTGGAAATTTTCCATAACTTGTTTCTTTGTGATGCATATTATTTCTATATGTCACTGCAGTAAAGCAAAACGAAAGAAGAAAAGGGAGGAAGCGGAGAAGCTACCTGAGGTATCTAAAGAAATGTATTATAACATTGCTACGGATTTGAAAGAAATATTCCAAACTACGAAAGATATCAGTGAAAAGGAAGAAGACACGCCCTGGAATGAGGACTGTGGTAGAACGAAACCCGAGGAAATCCACAACCTTGCTGCTGTGACAAGTGGGGCAGAGCAGCCCAGCGGGTTCACATTCTCTTTTTTTGATTCAGACACCAAAGATAAAAAGGAAGGTACTTTTCTTTTTCCCACACTTTTTCATTTCAGGCAGCTTGAACTTGATTGAGTCTGCATTAAGTATAACAGATTTATTATTTTTATTTTTATTTTTTGGCAGCTAACTGGTAGGGGAAAGTATAACAGACTTAATGTTAGTTGAATAAAGAATTATTTCTTCCACCTAGAGAAACTATATGAGAGGGCCGGCCCGGTGGCGCACTGGATAGTGCGCCGCTTGGGAAGCGCGGCGGCGCTCCCGCCCGAGGGTTCGGATCCCACATACAGACCGGTTCCCGCTCACTGGCTGAGCGAGGCGCGGGGGCAGCGCCGAGGGTTGCGATCCCGTTGCTGGTCCCGGTCCGGTACGGGGACAACACTGAGGGTTGCGATCCGTTGCCGGACACGGAAAAAGACAAAAAAAAAAAAAAAACTATATGAGATTCAGTGTTACATGACCACAAACATGCTGTGACTGAGGCTGTGAAAGAAACTCTTTTTGCCTTTAAGGGAGCAAAATTCTAGCTAGCTGCCATGTGAGGGGAAGCCAGAGAATAATGTACAGTATCAGTATCCCTTCTGTTAAATAACAGCTCAGTTGGTTAGAGTGCCGCCTTGTAACAACCAAGGTCAAGAGTATGTATCCTGTACTGGCCAACTACCAAAAAAAAAAAAAAAGCCTTCTGCTAAGTAAAAGCAGTCATGAAGAAATATAATAATTCATATATTTAAATAGCTTTGTATCTTAAATGCAGTTGGAGATGCCACGACTTACGGAAAACTAGTGCTATATATGATAAGAGAGAAGAAAAAATAGGTAATCTTCTTGGTTTTACAAGTATGTCATGTCATTGGTATGCCAGTGTTTTCAAAGGTTATCCTTAAAGATTTGCCAGAACCTAGAAAAAAGTATAAACCCAGTATCTATTATTTTGAATTCCATTTCAGGACATTTACTTCTGAGGGCCAACATAGGTCACAGGTTAAAAACACCTGTTCTTTAGGAGGCTGTTCCTCACCCAGTATTCAAGATACATGTGCAGTTTTCTGGAATTTCACTATAAAAGCAAGATATATCTATACAGAAGAATACATGCACACCTAACTACAATGATTCTACCTTAAAGATCAGCAGTTAAAATAGCATTCATGTGTTCAGTAGATAAATATCAAATGCCAGCTCTGTGGTACTCCAAAAGGAGGTACAATGATGTAGTCATTTTAAGTACTTGGGAAATTTTGGAGACTTGTAAAGTGATTGTCCAGATCTTATGGCAGTAGATTTTTCAGCAGTTCTAGAAAGAGGTTTTGGGAATTGAAATGTAAAGTTATGTTCCTCTTGTCACATGTAAATAAGCAGGAGGGAAACCTGGTTTCACTGCACTGTGTTGTTTTAGGCTTCTCGTGATAGCACAGATGCCATGGTTAAATTTATCTGTTCTTTTTTTTAAATCGTATTGCTTATTTATAAACCTTTAGTTTTTATATCTTTTTAAATATTACTATTTCTGGGCCGAGCCCGTGGCGCACTCGGGAGAGTGTGGCGCTGGGAGTGCAGCAGCGCTCCCGCTACGGGTTCGGATCCTATATAGGGATGGCCAGTGTGCTCACAGCGCTCACTGGCTGAGCGCGGTGTGGCTGGTCTCAAAAAGGACAAATAAATAAATAAATATTACTATTTCTTTATCAGTTCACTCTAGCAATGCCAAAATTAAGATAGTAGCTTATCTCAATATTTGAAAACCTAGAAAGATGATACTTGTTTCAAATTAATGATTAACATATGTGAAATTTAGAGATGTGTGTATGGTTAAAGTAATCAAATGAGTGTTTTCAGAAATACTAGTTTGTTCATTTACAATACTATTATCTTCTATTGTCATAACAATATAGAGACTTATAGAGTAGAAGCAGTGAAACCTGGGAAGATTGTCTGGCAGGGAGACCTTCATTTCCAAGACAGTTCAGAAGAGGAAGACACTACAGAAGAAACAGATCACAGAAAGCCCAGCCCTGGGTAAGCAATTTATTTTTGTGCAGGTGTATTTCATAATTTATAAAATGTGAATTAGACATGCTTTAGAAGTTTTTTAGAAGTATCTAAGCTTCTCTTCACAAGACAACTTAATTTTCTTTTCTCAGCTCCTTTAGAGAGTTTCTGTAGCATTTTTCTAATCATAGTGAACACGTTTCTTTTTCCTTGAGATTTGGGCACCATCGGGTGGGAGGTAGGAGGTGCACCAGGATTGAAGCTGATAGGTTGCTGGGCTGGATACAGGAATCTGCAGGTGGCTGGGGGCTTCCCCAAGGGGAGCACTGGCAGATGGGCAGATGAGACCATCAGCAGCCAGCATGGAGAAGACAAGAGTTTGTACTCAACAATTCTTCGTTATGAAAACTTCAGATAGAAGAGAAGAATGTTGAATGGAGAGAGGGTAGAGTTATGTTAACTCAGGGCAAGATGAGCAAAACACAAACCAGATATATTTAAGGAATAGTTCGTTTATATTTTCAATGTAAATATTTCTTCTGAAATATTGAAATTAAACCAATATCTGTTTATTTCTTTCTCTCTTTCTCTAGGGAAGCATCATTACCTGAGAAAGAAACCACTAGATTTTTCTTTTTCTCTAAGAATGATGAAAGACTTCATGGTAAGTACATTTTTACATTAAATGGTATAAAACAGGTAATATAGTACAGCTCTTATGGTTCATGTTGATACAGTAACTCTCATTCAGAAATTCTGACTCTTTGCAGTGTCATGCAGTTTAACCCCCTGTGGACAGACTGACACATGTTGGCTAGTCAAGTTCTCGAGGACTGAGAACTCCTTAGTCACCACACTTCTTGCTCATTCTTTATCATCAACAAGGGTTTGTTTTGTTCCAGGAACTTGCTTAGGAGCTAGACATACAACACCCTTAAGTTTTTTGTACCTTAAAAGTCCATGTGAAAACTCTGAGGCTGTTGGTGAACTCCTCATTTCTTAAAGCCTAGCACAAATAACAAGTTATGTAATACTAAATGATATACAACAGTAAAATTCTAGCAATTCTACATTTTTCATTTTGCAAAGAAAAATATTTATTTTTGAAAATTAATAGAAATGCAGGGGGATGGTCTAAACTAGAAATGGAGACCTTGATCATTTCAACATTAGAATATCGTCTATTTTAGTAGTGATTTATCTTTCTTGTTTTCCCCAGTAGGTTCTGACTTATTCTGGAGAGGAGTGGGAGGTAATATCAGCAGGAGTTCTTGGGAGGCGAGAACAACCAACTTGCGTATGGTTAGTAATTGTTTCTCCGTACTGATTGTTTTCTAAAATAGATATGGTGTTAGAGTAATAGGAATAAGGTATGAAAATTTAGACAGAAAGGATGACAACTGAGAACATGATTTAAACTCTCAGAATTATAGAGCTGGAAGGGAACTTAGAGGTTGTTTAATTCAACCCATGGTGAAGATGAGGAGACTGAAGACTGGCTCAATTCAGTGACTGGTCCCAGAGTCCAGCCAGGTTCATTAAGTAACAAATCATGAGATTTTTTAAAAACCGAATTATAGCTTCTATTATAAATACTTAAAGCCGAATGTTTGAATATTCCCTATTCATTCCAAGTAAGCACTTCCAAAATGGGTTTCCACAGTCCTGAAAATTTTACTTTATAGTTCTACTGGACACCTTGAAAACAATTTGCATTTACTGTTAACAAAGGCTTTTGATTTTGATTTTCTAGGATTGCCGGAAGAAACATAAAGATGCAAAAAGGAAAGTGAAACCAAAATAATTATTGTCAACATTGGTTTTGATACTGAATGTGAACAAGGCTCACCTAAGGAAATTGACCCAATAAATAGTTTTTGCTGACAAAGAAATTTCGGAGTTGAAAGAACCTTCAAAATCTGACTGGTGGAATATCATTCTGGTTGCCATCTTTTTCTGTGGAATTGCTCTGTATTCCTTAGTAATTCCATTAAAAAATTAAACTGAACTTTTTAAAAATGAAACACAAGATAGTCCCCCAAAATACTTCTTATGTATAATCTCTTTCCCACCATCCTCAATAACTAATGGGCATCTTCTGATGCAAGTTTTACATGAAGCCTTTTTTGATTAATGGATCAAAGCACTTGTATTTTCCAAGTTAGGTTTTGTGTGAATTATAGGCTATTTGAAATATTTATTTCTGACTGTACCAAATACACCTTACCCCCATTTAGTCATTTTTGTTTAAAAGGATGAATTTTAGGTCAACCTTGAGTTCTATAGCTAACTATTGACTATTAACTAACAACCTTGAGTGTTATAGCTAACTGAAATGCTGGATATTTCAGACCAACATCATATGAGAGTTCTGTTAGGACCAGGAAAGGAAGCCAAATACAGAGTTTTTCTGTCCTTGGCCTCTAGGAATTAGGGAGCAACATATGGAGGCAAGCCCATCAATTCCAAAAATATTGATAGACCAGAGGCTTATGAAAAATAGCAAGTGACTGAGATACGTAGTAACAATTAGGGGTCAGGACCCTGAGTCCAGATAGGGAAGCAGTTTTGTTTTATTAAATAAACCAGTCTCGCTAGGAGTCAAAACAGATATGCCTCCTATCAAAATGGCTCTGTACAAAATAGTGTCACATAGATAGTTCCAAAGGATTATCATTGACCCATGGTGTGTGTATCTGGAAATATCTTAGTATTTATTGATTATATCTTGCTTGAATATAAACTGCGTGGGTTGGGATCTCATCTGGTTTATTAACTATTATATTCCCACTGTCTCCAGCTGTGTCTAGCACATAGTGGGTGCTCAGCATATATATTTTTTAATAAAAAAAAGTCCAAGGAACTAAGTGGCTTCAAGAGTCATTCTGTATTCCTGTCTCCAGCTGTGTCTAGCACATAGTGGGTGCTCAGCATATATATTTTTTAATAAAAAAAGTCCAAGGAACTAAGTGGCTTCAAGAGTCATTCTGTATTCTTGTTTTTTTCAGTCTTTAGACTTCAAGAAGAATGGGAACAACCAATCAGCAGGATAAATAATTCAAATGTTCCACCTTCTCTTGATGTAAATCACATTTATACCTTATATATTTCTGCACAGCAAACTATCACAGTAACAATCATTTATTTTGCTCACAAACATGCAGTTTGGTCAGGGCTCATTGGGAACTGCTCATCTCAGGCTCCACATGGTGTCATTGGGATGGTTCAGCCGTGGCTAGAGGATCTGATTCTAAGATGGCCCATCCACTCAGTCCATGGCTTACCTTACAGCATGGCAAGTAGGTTCCAGGAGCAAGTAAGTGTTCCCAGAGCCAAGAAGCACACATACTGCCAGTTTCTTAAGGCCTGGGTCCAGAAACTGGCTCAAAGTCACTTATACTGTATTCTACAAGTAAAAACAGACACAGCCTACCCAGACTCAAAGGGAAGGGACACAGACACTCACTTCTCAGTGAGAGGAAAGTGAAAGAAATTGTAGCTATATTTAAATCTGTCGATTCATCTCCAAAGCAAATAAGTGACATCAGTGGCATTGCCCCCCCAATTCCTGCTCCCCAGATACCACCTTCAATAATTTCATCTGTTTGCTCTGATATTTATCTCCATGTTTTCACCTAACATACACTTCTGCTGTGATTTCTTGGTTTTTCAGTTTTAGACATTACCTATTGACTTCCTACTCTGAAAAATGATGATTCAATTCTTTAATCCAAGTAGTATATTTTGGCCAGTTAACTTGTTCTTGGAATTATTTTTTTCATTTGCTTAACTTTTTTCTAGACAATCTTCCCATACCTTCCAACAATACTATAAAATGTTTCTCAATCCCATTTTTTTTTTTTTTTTATGTGACCAGTAAGGGGATTGAAACCCTTGGTTTGGTGTCGGCTGCACCACGATCAGCCAGCGAGCACACCGGCCATCCCTATAAAGGATCCGAACCCGCGTGCTCCCAGTGCCGCACTCTCCCGAGTGAGCCACGGAGCTGGCCCTCAATCCCATTTTTCAATAACTGGACTTAAGTCTACTTCAGCAGTACCTTTTTTCCCTGGACACATTTGTCCTGGAGCCAGCCCTCTGTCCTCTTATCTGGGATCTCCACAAAGGTGACAGAAATGAGCTGGACAAGGTGGCAACTAGAGGAATGTGAGAACTTCACTTTTCAAATACTTGTAGTTAATAAACTCAAGATAATACATACGTTCAAGTGAGTTACCCCTTGGACGGAGGACATGAAACCACTTACTCTAATTCTTGACACTTAGTACAGCCTAGACCTTAAATAACTGATGAATAAGTGCTAAACAGACTATCAAAATATTCTGAAACTTACTAAGAAAGTACTTCCTGCTTATTCTGGTTCAGATCAAATTTTTTTGTCCCACTAGTGGATAAAATAGGCAATTACATACA